ATGCATCGAACAAACTCCTATGCTTAGCCCATGGAGGACGCATTAGACAATCTTTGATGTTAACCCAGGAGCACGCATTTTGATATTTAGCCTAAAGACATGTCAGATGCATTTCGATGATTAACCCGAGATGAATATATTAGATAACCTTTGATGCTTAGCCCAAGAAAGGCACATCGAGTGTTTGATGGTCAATTCGAGAATGATACGTTATGTAATGGAGGAGATGACATCGCTTGAATTGCTATGTACCATAGAGGAGCGTACATCAAGCAATGGAGGAGACAACACCGTCTGAACTACCATAATTCTATTGAGGAGCTTATAACAAGCAGTGGACAAGATGATGTCACTTGAATTACTATAATACTATTGAGTGGAGGAGTATCTTAATCAATTGGTTGACCTATCCATTTCGAACAACTGACAATAGATGTGACTAACCCACTATAGTGCCAACGAGGTGCTCACATTGAGTAACAGAGGAAGGAACAATTGAATCTAGAGTGGCCAATCGATTTGCTATAGAGTAGTTGATATACCCATATTAGATGATAAAGGAGGCGACAATAGATCCCCTACTATAACGATGCCAAAGAACTTACATCAAGAGGTGAAAACTTATTATTTGATCTATATGAAGATGCTAAGAGGCCCATATTGAGTGATAGAGGAGACAACGATTGATCCCCTATTGTAATGATGCTAAGGAACCCATATTGAGTGGCATAAGCTCATCGCCACCAAGTCTATAATGGAGATGTCGAGAGGCCCAGGTTAGGTGATGGAAGCCTATCATCACCTAATTTGCTATGAAAACGCATATCATCCATCACCACCTGACTTGTTACAAGGACTCTTATTGCCCAATGCCACTCGACTTGCAATAAGGTGTCAAGACGCCTATATCAACTAATAGAACACATTGCCTCCCCACCAATTAGTCATATCATCCATAAAAGATGCATCACTCGTCAGAGAAGCTTATGTTTGTAAAGAGTGTGTCAGATATTGAAATGCTTTTGTCCATGAAGGATATATCAAATACTTTGGATGCTTTTGTTTATAAATAACATATCACATATTGGACATGCTTGTGGATGCACTAAAATTTGACATGACAGCATTAGAGACTAATGCTTTTGTTTGCCATAGGTGAAAGTGTTGTGGATCGAGGTTGGAGCACCCTTGCTATAGCACTTGTTGAGTAGATAGACGAATGATGTTCTTATAACATAGGCCCTCTTGACGCTAAAATTACATGGGATATATTAATGATATTAGGATTAGCCCGACTTAATTCAAGTCAGCATGCGTAAGAAATTATCAAGTGTTGCTTAGAATGTCGCATATATTCAATTTGATACTAGCTTATATAAAGGCCAAGATCGAGTGGGGTTCTCAATGTGGTTCATCTAATGTTCAAGTTACTAACGAAATTGAGTGAATGCTTTAAGTAAATAATAATTAACCTCAATTATTATGGTTTGATGGGCTTTGGGCAAAATATTCACTTAGCATTTTGTATTGGTATCCATGTGACTCAATAATTAATTGGGTCCCTTTCCATCCTAATTTGAATAGGCTACCACTTATCCAATCTTGATTGGAGATAAATATTTTTCTTATCCTTTATCTATGGATCAATACTTGTGTAACCATTCCAGACATCAACCTCCATTTTGATTCAACAATAACAAATTTGAGAATTTTAGTTCTCACCTTATTAAATCATCAAAAATCTCCAACTAACTTAAGCATCAAAGAAGATTTTATCGATCATATCCTTGGCACAATTTTGGCAGGATATATATTACATTCTCTAACGAGTGTGGACGTGATTTTTGATTCTCTAACGAGTGTGGAAGTGATTTTTGATTGGTCCAAACCGTCTTTACTTATCGAACAATCAAAATATGACTTTTCACATGATGACTTGATAAATATTTTTTTTATGTAACACTATTTAAAGATAGAAATAAATTTTAAATTATTGAAATTTGATCTCAAGCTATTTTATTATATTCTTCTTTAACACACCAAAACTCCTAAAAAAAATTAGACATTTTGATTAAATTGGATTTCAGTAAGAACTTGACGTAGTATGGGATTTTTTATGATAGATTGATAACATGTTTTATCATTATCATATAATAAATACATTCATCGCAATGTAAACATTGCATCTTATGCCACGTCAGCTAGAATCATTGCTCCAATAGCTTCCGGTTCCACTACCATGGTCAGCGCGTAGGCTAGGCTGCCACGACGGCATATGGAGCCAAGCCATTACCATACGTAGCTAGAGGCTGGATAGCCCATGCTACTTTGCGGCCCAATAGGCTTGCATTATTACTCTAAGGTCTATGCGGTTTAGCCACACCTCCATTGAATCTAGTTGAGCTCAATTTGATCCTAGTTGAAATATCAAGCACGAACCCAATCTCAACCCTGTCAAACCAAGCCAATAGTGAATTGGTTGAATCGGACTCAAACCGCTTATAGCCCGGCCTATGGAGGAGCCCAACAAAGCTATGGGTCGAACACCCTGCGTGGGCCAGATTTGACGGCCTGCGCCTGTACAGGTCCAACAGGGCCCATGTACCCAAATCAAACTCGAACTGGCCCATCAATAGATTGAACCCGATCGTTGCCCTTAGCCAGTCGAATCAGACTTGAACTTGGTCATCGATGGACTAAACTCCACTTTGCAACAGTCAACACCACCGTTGTTGCCACCGCAAGCATTGCCTATGTCGTGTTGCCCTTCCATGTCGGTACACTTATGTCTACGGCTTGGTTCAATGTCACATCTTTGGCTTGAATTGACATTGAATGCATGGCATCGATCATTTTCCGTGAGATCTTTAATTTTGATGCCTCATCCATCTTCTATTTTAGTAGTTCAAACTAATATAACCCGACACCCTCATCCATCCATCTTCTAAGTATAACACTTTTTTTTCTGTATATATATAATTCAAATCAACATGTTTTGATATCTTATGTTTTCTATGTTTAACATTTCATATACAAACACTTTGATATCTTAGTGTATATACGACACTTTCCTTTGTGATCAATATAAGTTGGCAACCCAACACTTGTGTCTTTTTCATTTGACACACCTTACATAAGTAATTCAAATTGGTGTATCTCGACGTCCTCATGTGTCTCCTGTATCTAATACTTATTACGTAAGCAAGTTTAGTCGACACACTCTATCATGCCTTCTACATCTAATACTCCTAATATAAATAGTTTTGTTAACGTGTCCAAACACTCTTATGCCTTCTACATCCGATATATTTTATATTGGCAATATAAGTTAGTACGCCCAAACACTCTTATATTTTCTTACATCATAAAATCCCTAAATAGGCGGTTCAAGTTAGTACACTCAAACACTCCCATACTCTCCTATGTCATATACTTCATATATAGGTAGTTCAAGTTAGTACACCTAAACGGTCTCATAGTATCCCACATCATATAATCTATAATCTTTATATGACAATTTAAGTTGGCATACCATAATGCCCTCATAAGTCTAAGACTCCATACACAACAAATTTAAATTAACACATCCTGACATTCCCAAGTACATTATGCTCCGACAAGAACAAATAATTCCCCTTAAGGATAATGGTGGGGATGATGTGTAAATTGATAATCAATTAGGACTCAACATTTGACATCTAGTCAAATTATAGAGAAACAATCATGGCTTGACAAATGTTAACCCTCTTGATCCAAGAGACTTAGTGATTGAGATGTGACACTACCTAAGCATGCCTATCTAACAAAATGATGATATAACATCACCTAAGTATGCACAATCAATATGGAAACTAAAAGAAAATATTATATACCCTACCATGGGGCATATAAAAACAATTATTAATATTTTCTAACAATAAAAGTCAAGTTATTGACATCTTGACGGTGATGATATTTTTTTGAACTTGAGCAAATGTAATGCCTCTTCTTCGAGTTAGATGCATTGCACAAAAAGATACTTTTGGATGCCTTGAATGCTTCAATTATTTTTATCTTGAGCCCATATATTGCTCATAAAAGGTGATACTTTATGATGCTATTTAATTCTAAGTAGATGCATTGCATATGAATGAGATGCTTGGGGATATGTTTGATGCTTCAAATGATTATTTTACCTCGGGTGAATGCATCACATGCTAATGTAATACTTTAAGATGTGTTGGAAGCTTTGCTACCTTTTTACCCTACTAATATGTTTGTCTTTGGCAAACATATTAGTAGGAGAGAGGGTGAGGTAAACAAAAGTGTACATACATCAAAAGAAATCGATTATAACGATCTCCTTCCCATTTATATTGATCAAGAAGACTTACGGAAGCTCTACTCACCTTTCTTCTCTATTTTGATATGGATCCTTCATATTGATAATTCCAGAGTTCTCAGGCCGATAACGTATGACTAAAAATAAGAAAAAGATAAGTATTCTCTATCATAGCAAACATTCTCTTATAGCTGAGATGATCTTTTGACTTTTACATGTGCAAATGGGATGATAGTTTATGATGTGTCAAAAACTTTGATTTTTTTTTTTTAATTCACTATTTGATAAAATGGTGATACGATGTGGTGGTAAAGAAGCTCAATAATAATGGTGTTAGATTTTTTTATTTTTTTTCATGAATAAAAAAGAATTTAGATGGCCTGTGACTATTTATGAAGGTATAGATAACACACAAAGAATGTAGGTTGATCACAGAGGTGGCAGACAGTTCGATAAATGAAAGCATTAGAGGTGATATATATGATCATTATGCTCCAAATACAAAAACATGCTTAAATTGTTCCTAACACAGCCATCTTAAAGTGTTCCTACCACAGCAGTGTCAAAAAAAATTTATATGAAGATAAGATATCATTATTTATATAAGAAAACAATCCGAACACTGAATATGTATTATTTAAAGGCAGAGATGCATTGTCACACACTAATGTACCAAACATTAAATTCATGAGGACAAATAAATCGCCACTTAGAACGAAGATCCGAAATAAGCAGTCCTCATGTGCACATACCACCGCTTACAATACTTAACTGTTGGTAGGTCAGGAAATTTAAGATCATTTTTGTACAGTAAGACATCCGAACTCATTCTACTCTTCGACTCTGCACCTAGAGAGAGAACATAAATTTGGTCCCGGAAAGAAGAGAAAGAAGACCAGGGTGCCGCCGCAGGTTAGCAATGTGCCTAGCAGCAGACTGGCCTCATCTCACCCTATACACTTGAACCTTATTTATTTACATCATACTATCATCTGTAAAAGAAAGAAAAGAAAAAGAAAAAGGATCCTGCCCTTATTTCCATTAATGGTAACTTTGATGCATCCATGGGTTCAAAAGTGGACACACCCTTTGATACAATTGCACCTGCAGTTTCCCCCCCTCACTGTATTCTACACTTGGAACAACCAAGGAAAGGTTGCATTTCCAGGTACATGGTTGCTGCCAAGAACTTCTAGTCCTCCGAACTAGTTGCAGAAAAGGCGCTCTTCTCTGGATTCCCATTTGGACTGATTCCTTGTGCACTCTGAAGTAGGTTGACAGTCCTATCTTCTTGATAAACGCGTGTACTACTTAATGGAAAGAGTTCCTGCAAAACCTTATAATCCATTAGCAATCATTTCCACTACACTATACTAAAGATTGCCCGAGGAAGAAGCTGCGAATAATGGAGTAAGCATCTTTATTTAAAATGTTATATTACAATCTAGGATGGAGAAAATTCAACATACGAAACAGCAAAGGCCATAAATATCTCAGTAGAATTCCACTTTGCAATATTTCATTTGAAGAGGTATGGCTCAAGAAATATAATCAAAGATTTTTGTTCAGGCACCATTTTACTTATTTGGCAATTTCATCCATTAACCATGGAATTTACAAAATTAGGAAAAATAAAGAGAGATTCAAGTTAAGCATTTCTTTGCATACTTGCCTGCATGGATATATATGCAACTGATTGGGCCAACTCTCTGAATAATTCATATGCAGCCAAAAGAAAAATATTAATTCTTGCCTTAGCATGTGCCTGATCAAATATCTCACAGGCAATTGCATTATTATTATTATTATTTCGTGTGACATTAAGCATATGGCATAACATTGATTGTAAAGGAAAACAAGGTATTAGTGCCTCAAAACATACACCTGATTCATGGAATATGTCAGGTGAGCCCTAACAATCCCATAAGCTAAACATGAGGTTTTATTATACAGTAGCATTCAATATTCTCTAGTAGCCTTAGCAAAATTGCTTATCCACCAATTTTTCAGCTTATATACGTCCCATATATTATAAACAACTATTCCATATAGTTCCCAAGAGATTTTTGGACTTTTACCTGATCACCAGCTTCTGCTCCCTCAGAATCAAAAAGAATAGGGCGACATCTCTTATCTTCATTCATCAAGCTAGAGTTCTGGAAGTGGGCAACAAGTGCTGCTCGACCCTGGATTCGTGCATATGCCAGAGAGGCAACCTTCTCACTGTTGAACTTCTCCCACTTCTTCCCATTGAATCCCTGCAAGTATATATAGAGGTTCAGCGAAGCTCCCTAGTTCACATGATTTTATTGTTTGATATGCCCTACCAAACTTCCCTCTCCCACTAATAAACATTTTAGAATTTAGCAAGTAGTCCGAACTAGAACAGAACAAGCAAGCAAGGAGCAGAATAAAACCTCATAAAAGGATATTATGTGTGCAGGAGAAACCATGTTTATAAATGCATAACCCACATTGCATTTATTCTGCATGAAAGAATCGACATTAGATTAGATCAATAAGGCATTATCATCAAACCACTGTTGTTTGACTTTTGTGCATATTACCTTAAAATCAATTGGCAAGTACAAAAAGTCATAAGCGCCTTTGTGAGTTTCATCTATTGCAGCTAAAAGCATCTTCGAGGTGTACCTAGAGAACAATTAATATCCAAATTAGGCTCATAATTCTGTATGCTTGGCAAAACAGCACAGCATTTTATGATTTTTTTTTAAATACATACTTATTTGGAATGTTCTTTATCATTATCGTTGTTCGAGTGTCTTCCCCCTTAATGATTTTCTCCAAGTCAAGCTGATACTGCTTGTTATCAAGTTGGATCCCCTGGTTGTCAGCTCGCCGACTGCGGTTACGATCAACTAGACCATTGATGCCAATGGAACTTGGGCCAGAATAGGGAGCATTGTGAAAGAGCACAGGTCCAAATCTCTGAGAGGGCATCATTCGCACATTCGGTGAACTATTATCTGGCATATTTCCTGATATAATGCCTTCATTCACTGTGGCCCGAGGAGTCATATTTATATGTAAACTACCACCATTTTGATTAATCCCAATGTTTCGAAATGGGACCTGGTTCATCAAGGATGTCTTTGGTGACTCGGGGAAAAATCCATACTGCCTCACGAAAGGAACAGATGGAGCTGATCCAACATGATGTGGATGCTGATTGTGTGATGACCCCAGGAATGAGCCATGATGGCTTGAATAGAGAAAGCTGTGCGCTTGCCCTTGTCCATTTGACATGATTGAACTTCCTGTAGCTCGAGACTGCCAAGAAGAAGACTGCACATTGTCCATGTAAGAAGTCAAATTACCCCATAGAAACTGTGGGCCAGTCAGACTTCCAACACCAGATGCATTTGGAGTCGAAGGACCAAAAGAAGTTAAATTTCCTGGGGTCGAAGTCAGCACTCCATGACCGTGATCTGGGAAGGAATGAGACTGTTGATATCCACCTCCCAGAAAAGGACTGCTGCTAGAGCTTATCTGGTCAGGATGACTGGCCCTATTTTGGTCCTTCCCAATTGGCGCAATCTTCACAGAAGATATCTTTGGAGAGAGTAGAGAAGATAATCCAGACATATCGTTATTTCCAATAGGGCTCATTGCTGCACCACTAGGGGACTTACTAAAAATTTGTAGTGGATTGTTATCATTTGGACTACTGAATTGTGCCCATGGACCTGTCATTCAAGAGATATCCAGTTCAAATATGGCATATTGAATGGACCTGCCATTCAAGAGAGATTAAACACCAATAGATATGAATTGGAGCGCACGTCACCAAGATACCTGGAGGCGAATTGGCAGTGGACAGGCCCCCATGATGCCGATAAACTCTGGTTTCATCCTGTTCCAGCTCATGAGTCAGTTGTTGCATCAAGCTGTTTAGAAGATTGAAATTTTAGCACAAAGTGAAAAATAAGAGCTCCACAGAAAATTTGATTTTAAAAATGTCTATTAATAATAACAAATCATCCAAACTGTCAATTAGAGAAGAAGACATTATGATTTTTGTCAATTCGAACCATATCATCCTTTAACAAGGAGCAATAGAAACAGGTTGAGATGTAATTAACAAGAACTTATGAGTGAGATTTTGCTTCCATGTGAATATCAAGATTTAAGTTAAAAGGCATGAAACTAGAACCTCGGAGCTCATAAGAACTTATCCAAACTACAATGTAATAGTTCAGATTAAAGTAAAAGAATCTACAGCTATAGCATTTCTCCCCAAAAAATATCCGCAAACAATGTCATACACATACCTCCTACGAGATCCACCAGGACGGCTGGGTTCCAACTTTATCCGTTTGCCAGCTATGTCACTCTTGTTCAATGACCGAAGGGCAGCTTCTGCTGCTCTAACATCATAAAACTCAATAAATTTGTGGTGCCGTTTGTGAGGAGTCTCCCTTATCTGCTTAATAGTAAATAAGCAACATCTTAGCAAAAACCTGAGTGATGTGTAACCTTATGTGAATATCAATATCTTCCATAAACAATATTGAAGAAGAAATTTCCCACCTCTTTAACTTCCCCATATGCCCCAAATATTTGCTTAAGGTCATCATTAGAAACTGAATGTTCCAAATTGAATATCACAAGAGTTCCTTGGTTCATATCTTTGTCTGATGGGTTATCCTATAAATTAGGACAGAATATGATCAAGTGATAGAAATTAAATGATGGTAAAATAGAACAAAAAAGTTCTCTAGTCAGACCTTTGGGATTGAAAAATGTATGTCAAGCTTTCTCCGTCTTAAGGGCTTGTTCTGTAATGCACGCATGGCAGATCGAGCAGATCGTATATCATAGTAAGATATCATCACAAATCCCCTATGCTTACATGCAGTATAAAGACTTCGAATGTCTCCGTATTGCTGAAAGAACAGATATGATCAAATGTCAGGAAAAAGTTCAGAAACAAAGTTCTAGAATAGGAAGGAAATATGAAAAATATGATTTAATATAATATTCCATATGAGGCCATCAATCTAGCATTGCTCACGAAATCATTCAAATTATTGCCATCATGCATGAACGTAGACAATAAATTCACGTAATCTTCGCTCAAACAACAAGAAGTCCACCACTTAATTCCAACATAGTAAAATGCATACTCTTATCCACTTCATGGATACATTTCACAACTATATGGGTATTATATAAATAAAAGCAAGAATCTTCTTATTAAAATTAGAAATCTCGGCAGCATGGATAATGACACATAGCAAATATGCTTCAATATTAGCACCACTTAAACAATTGGAAAATATACATTAACAAGACATAAACCACAAGGAATAACCAATCTTAAATCTTGTGCGTAATATTCATCAAAATCAATTTATTTATCCTTGCAACTAAAAATTAAGCTACAAATGAGCTGAAGCAGACTGATAGCAGAAAAAGCTATACAACAAAAACACAAACAATTACCTCAAAGAGCAGCTGTAATTCAGAGTCTTCAACATTACTGTTGATGTTCCGCACGAATAGGGTTCTCGAAGGATGCTCACCATATGGGTGCTCCCCCGAAATAGTCCCGACACCATTAGGAAGACTGTACTGATTAAACCCATTGCCTAAAGACCCATCAGAGACACTTGACTTTGCCACACCAATTGCAATGCTTTCTGTAGGATCAGAATCCAATTCCATACCTCCTACACTGCCAAATAGATCATAATCTTCCAACTCATCAACTTGACCAGGTAACCCATTAAGGTCAAAATCATCCATTATGCCAGACAAAAGAGCTTCTTCATCATCAGGTAACATGACCCCAATCTCTTGAAGGTCAAGATCATCCAAGGGATCCTTGCCCTCCATATCATTGTTCAGCTTTTTCAATTTAGAAGCTGCATTGACGGTTGATTGAATACCAACATGTGAATCTCTAAAGTTCACTGAATGACAAAACAAGATCTGTAGTGTTAGTTTAGTAGACACTAGTCACAAGTTATGAAATGTTTAAAAAAAAAAAGAGAGAAGCATACATTTATCATGACGAAGCACAGGCAATGAGCTTGAGAACAGGCTAACATCACTTGATCCATAAAGTGCATTGGAGCTGGATGGAATAACCCATGCATTTTCAGCCTTCCTCGCAGTCCCTACAGATTAGAGATATGGGTGAAAGAAGATTCAAAAGGATACAGTCAGTTTTGGGTAAAAGAAGCATTACTGACCAACTTAATCAAAGAAAGTCTCGAATTTACTTACATATAGGGACAGAATTCTCCGAGGCCTGCTCCATTGTACTTACCCTACAGCATCACAATGAAACACAGATGGTAATAAAGATAGATTTGGAAGGCAAAGTTTTGTGCAACACATGCACCGAGAGAATAATACAACACTGTTATACTACATATTTCCCAACAGGAGTCTTATGAAAGGACCATGAAAAAAAAAAAAACTACCATCTTCAGATTGTTCACTTCAACATTGAACATGCATACATTTCATGGTTCAGTTCAACATATGGGCACTCCATGGCCCTTCAGAAATTGTTTGGAAGATTCTTCTAACATAAGAATTCTTAAGAACCTAGAAAAATACCGTTATATCCCAATTCAAGGTATCTCTATGTTAAAAAAATTCACACCATGCTTCAACGCCTCTTCATTCATAACTACATATTTTTTTTCTCAATCACTTACAAATTTATTACAACATAGATCAAATCACCTATTTATGAGTAAAGCAAAAACTCTTATCAGACATATGAATCATTAGTGCCAAATCATCATTCCAGACGTGAATTCCTAACATCAATTTTTTATGTCAGGATACAATATCAAAACAATTACTTGAATTTTAAACATGCATTATCTTTCTTCACATTCAAAATATAAATTGATTAATATCGTAAAGGCATGAGATATTAAATATTTAAAATAATAATTAAATAATTCCAAACTTATCCCAAGATCAAGAAAAGGAGAGGAGTTCACCAGTATAAACAGGGGTTAAGGTGGGCATTGAATACTGTTAGAAATCTTAATTTTGTTTTCGTTTTTATTTTAAATTAAAAAATATTTAAACAATAACTTATCTGAGGTTCAAGATAGGAAACTTTAATTAATTGTTGACACACAATGTAACTAGAATTGACAACTAATTGGAACTCGGCATGTGGCATCTAGTCAGATTATAGACAACCAATCATGACTTTACACCTGTCACCCAATTGGCCTCGAAGACTCAAAGACTCAGTCAATATGATGATTAGGTAGAGTCGCCTAAGCGTGCACAGTCAGCACCTAAGAGTGCCCAATCAGTATAATATCTAAAAGGAAATATTCCCTGTGGATACCCAACTTGGGCTCTCCTCCAGGGATGCTCTCCCCTTTGAACTTTCCAAACTAAACTCACTTCCTTCATCCATTCGTTGATTTAAACATCAAAGGGATTTTGTCGGACATGCCACTAAATAGTTTTGTAGGATTCCTCGACTTTGATGGAATCCACTCTTAAGGAAGCGAGACAGAGGAAGGATAGCCAGCGCAGACATATCCACAGGAATTTGATTTGTAAATACAACAACATTCGAAAAACGGATCAGGTCGGATCAACTTCATAGTGTCAGGTTGACGATCATTTTTGACACTGACAATACCAATTAACTTGTGCCACGCCAAGACAGGGATCACACAATTGAAATGGTTAATCTACCATGTGATCATCTCCCAACTTCATAAAGTATGTACCACAAAATTGACAATCAAATATGGCCGTCAACAAATACTGGTTCACCAAAGTCATAGGACATCAAATGCATGGAACCATAAATTACAGTGCAACCTTGTTCGATCAGCAACGGGGAAGCAGTGATCCAACTACTAATACAAAAGAGCTGAACGTGGCATTCAAATTACGATAGGTTTCAGCCGTCCTTCGGCACATCTGCACCAAATTACAATCCAGAAGAACCCTGACAATGCACGCATTTACCTTTATTTCACCTCTTAAGCAACAAAGGATCCAACTTATCAACACATTACATCTCAAACCCAACACAAGAATCGAAGCAAATAACAGAACAAAGGCGGAGCAGACCCTTACCAAGCGACGCAACCACTCAGATCCGCGTCAGAGGTGACCCTAGATTCCTCCAAAACAGAAGCGAATACCGGGGGCGCAATTCCACCGAGTTCGACCCAGGAGTCCCAGCATAACCGACAGGGAGATCCACCCCAATCGGCCGAAATCAAGAGCGAAACCCAGGAAAGAGGAACCGGTCGCCCCCTCTCGTTCCGCCTCTATTATTGCTGCGGAGGTGCGTCCCCTCTTCCCCTTCGACAAGGAGAGCAAAAGGATATGGAAAGCGATGATTGATTGGAATGATAGTCCATTTAGTGCGCCGCAATTCTCAACTGTTTTTGAATGGAACTTGAAGTCCGTTGACGCCACCAAGACCGTCGCCCGCTGTACTGCCTGCGCCTCTCGCTTCGCTCGCTCCGTACCTGTGGGATCGATCCGTTTAGATCTTCATCCCGCGGATGGAATGAATAGAATCGTGACATGGGTGGCGCGTCTACTTTCGAGATTACCGCCGACGAGCGTGGCGGAGGGTTAATGCTACACATCACATGGATTTGGATAATGCCATATAATCCAATCACATTAATGATGATGATGATGTAATTGAATGGCCCAATGTGAATGCGATCGAGCGTAGTCTAATCATTTGGGTGACTTCATTTATTGTTATTGTCGTGGGGCGGCTCAAATGGGCCGAATCGGCCCGTTTTGGCGGAAGCTTAAAGACACGTGGCGGATATCGGGCTGGCCCTACTAAGTTCCGTGTCGGATCGGATCGACGACTTGTACCCTTGACCAAGTCAACCGTGGTCTGGTGAAGCGACTTCAGTACTACAAATAATGACGCTCTGTTGTCTGGATTCTACTCTTTTCAAGGCTCGTCATTTTCTTGGCAGAACAACTTTTATATCAGCATAAGATGTCGATAAAATCTACTAGTTTATCTAATTCGACCGCCCATGACTACATAATAATGATATAAGAGAGCGATCCCGTGGTCTCAGAGTTGATGTAGGATAAGTTGAGCTCCAGACTGTGGTTGCAGAGTGACGACATCGTGAGGGGCATGGGCGTAGGAAGGTGACAGTTCAAAGGAGAAATGCTGGAGAACGCAAGCCAAAGCCATCTTTGCTTCTATCATGGCAAAGCTCTGGCCCAAACAAATCCTTGGACCCCATCCGAAAGGAACGAACGCATTTGGAGTCCTTGATGCCTTCGAAACACCTTCTGAGAATCTCTCCGGTTTGAACTCTTCTGCATCTTCCCCCCATGTTTCTCGGTCATGGTGGATGAGGAGTATGGGCAGGAAAAGCTCAATTCCAGCAGGGAATGAGAAGCCTCCCAATTTTGTGGTCTTGATGGTTCGCCGGAGAATGCCAGTCGCAGGCGGATACAACCTCAAAACCTCATGCAATATCATGGTTACCTGAGCAAAAAGATGACCTCAATCAATGAAACCCAGAGTGCCAGTATAAAGATGTAAAGGGGTTCTCTTCTTACAGTCTTTAGGCGGCTTGTAGACTCGAAGTCAGGCGAATTCTTGCCGCAGACGCTCACAACTTCTTCTCGTGCTCTCTGCTGCCATGTTGGGTAAATGGACAGAAGAATCAATGTCCATGTCAACAGCACCGATGTCGTCTCTTGGCCGGCAAAGTAAAAGAGCTTGCATTCCTCGATCACATCGTCAGTTGTAATGCTGCAATTGCCGTGATCCCCGTCGTTGCTATATTGCACCAGCAAGCCTAGCAAATCATCGGCGGTGGATTCGCCCTTCGCAATAGAGTCTAATTTTTTGTTGATCATATCCATTAACATGCTCTTGATCTCCCTGTGTATGTGCATTCTCCTTTTGTTCTTCGCGGTTGGTACGAATCTGTGCAAATGATGGTATCTCGTGAGGACAAGTGATTTGAACTCTGTATATATCATCTTGTATCAAGCACGAAGCTGTAGGGGATTCACCTGAAGCCTGGAACATATGGAGCCCGAGCTGCTTCCATCACCAGAACAGCTTGCTCCTTCTGTAGTTCAAATATCTTCTTGCCTTCCTTGTAGCTACTCCCGAAAGCCGTTCGAGATATGATATCCGCTGTCAGATTCTGGAATTCGTTCCATACATCGACTTCGCAAGATCCTTCAGGGCTGGTTAAGTTCCGCCATCTCTCTACCATATCGACGCAGCTTTTCAGGAATGCAGGCGCCATTTCCTGCAGTCGTGGATGTGATGTCGACTCTGTCAAGATTAAGCTAGTGATTGGTGTTCGTCGAAGACCGAGGGGATGGAATACAAACCTTCAGTTTCTCGAGATGGAATGCGGGGTTGATGACCCTTCTCCGTCTGGCCCATTCCTCTCCGTCGAGCGTAGGCACCCCCATGCCTATAAGCTTTACAAGAGGGTTGAGACGAGACTTTCGAAACTGTTGCATTCGATCAAGTAGCACTTTCGTCATCAACTCCGGGTCATGAATGATCACTCTGGGTGTCGTTCCAATCCAAACAACAGATATCTTTCCTGTGCAACACACCAAGTATCAGACCACAAACATGCGGCAGAACCCATGTGTTTGCTTGAGCAGACTTACCATATTTCTGAACTATCTTATGCAAAAGGGGAGCAACACGAGGAACGAACTGGTGGGACAAATCCATTGGCTTGGACGAGGCTATAATTCTGGCGTGCATGTCATCCTTCAGGTCCCCATAAAAGAACCTGTTATCAGATCAGCAGCAGCAGCATTCAGCATTCAGCATTCAGCAAGGAAGCGATTACGAAGGTTCAACCTTCTGATTCAGTGTTCCGTACCTGTAAGGGTTGCCTCTGATGCCTTGCTGCCTCAAATGCCTTTCCAATGCCTTGGGCTTCCACCACAGGGAGTATGCCACCTTGAAGCAAGAGAAGAGAAGCACAGCGAGTGAGCATGCAAGTAGAGCAAGACGGAGCATCTCTGCCATCATTCCTCCTCCCTGTGTTCTCCTCGGTTGGGACACCGGGATAAGGGGATGGACAATGACTTATAAGCCACCAAATCCCCATGACGCTACTGTTCTGGAACACAGCATCTTGTTTGACCTGTTGCCTGTATTCCAAAATTTGCACGCGGATTTCCACACTGCCTTGGAGACCAAGGAACGCCGACGAGGAACAACGGCCTATGGCTTCCAATTCCAAACCTACGACCTCCTGTAGCTTATTTATCTTTCATGGAGTGATGGCTACCAGCACATGAGTATCTGGAGTTGGTGATGCCATGCGACTGATGCAGCTCCGAGATGCGTGCTCGCCAAGGAAGAACTGTAACATATACAGTGATCGACATGAACACGTTCATCACATTTATGAGTTGGACCATCAGCGACAGTCTGTCACCTTAACAACTCACCGTCACTTTGACTTGTTGTGACGACAAATTATCATTAGAATTGATTTTAATAAATTAACCCACCGATAAAATCAAAAATATCATACCTTCACAATGCTTGAAGAATTTTCTTTTTTTGATGATTTCATAGGTTTAAAGGAGATGTTTATTTATACTAATTTTAGGCTTTAAAAATTAACTAACTAACGATGTGGGATTATTAAAAAAAATATAAAATTAATAATATGGGACAAATAAAATTGATAAGTGGTAACCTCGAGAATCGTCTTATTCAGTATCGTTTAAATAAAAAATATATAATATTTTATTATTTAGATATATTAAACTCTGGAAACACTTATTGACGTAATGGGGACGTAGCTCATATGGTAGAGCGCTCGCTTCGCATGCGAGAGGCACGGGGTTCGATTCCCCGCGTCTCCAAATTTTTTGTTTTTTTGTTTTTTTGTTTTTTTGTTTTTGTTTTTTGTTTTGTAATTTAATGTTCTCCAGTTAATTGGAGAAAACGCTCGTCATGAACCATAAAATACATATCAACTTCAAATATTAAAGACATTCAGTTCTCTTGTGATTAAATTTAATATTTTTTACTTGAGAAATTTATAAAAATAATATATAAGATGTTTTTTTTATTTGCAACATAGGGAGATTAATTATAATGTGATATAGGTAACTTTTTACATTTCGGACTCAATTAAATTTAGAGGAATAAATGTGAGAATTTACTGCCTGCAGGGAGATGTTCGAGGAGAGTTTGTATACGACTATACCAAACTGTAATCATGCCTTTGTACCTGTCCATCATCCGTGGATTCTTCTACTTTGGTAGAGTCTCATGTTTGATTGTATGATGATTTATGTTTCTAAATAAAAAGATCATAAAAACTATCATATTTCCTCTTGATTCGAGTGCCACATTAGATAAGTAAATGTACTTTGATAAACATATTAAATTTATTCATTCTTCTAAACCTCCTATAATTTTTTGATTTAAAAAAACTCGAAATTTAATATTTTTCATAAAAAATCTCAATTAAAAAAAATCATAGAACGTCTTTTTCCATAAAATGATATTTGTTTGTTATTGTCGAAGCCATCATCACATTTGATTTGCATCGTCCTCACGCACGTAAGGAAGAAGGAGACATATAGGCTGCACACAAAGACAATGACGAAATACGAGGATTTTTCAAAATTAAGATGATCTATAAAAAATTTAAAAGTAAATTTTTTTAAGAAATTTATTATTTAAAAAAAAAATTAAATAGAGGACGTATGGGTTACGAGCGATGATACAATATGAAGACAACAATGAATTCGACGAAGATAAAGGTAAAAAAATCTATTTCATACCATCAATGGTGAAATATATGCAATTTTCAGAGTTGAGATGATTTATGAAAAAAACTCAAAATTAGAAATTTTTTCCATATTAGGAATTATTTTAAAAACATTAAGATAATTTTATTCTGGTGATAATAATAAAATATAAAAAAAATGCAGTTATAAGCAACTAGTGAATTGGGTTAAGCCCATACCTTCGTGAGCGGAAAGTTTCAGCCCATTTAGGCCCAATTTATGTCCAAGTCACCGCCAACAAGGAGCTCAGATAAGCGTACCAACGATCCGTCCCCGGTCGGTTCTCATCAGACGCGGCACTCTCACAAGCCTGACTCAAGAAAAGGGGGCCACTTGTGAGGTCATCGGGACCACTCATCGTAAAGTAAATGCGTTATATTAAACTCTGAACACTAATCCCATAAGCACGAGCAGAGGATCACCTGCCATCATCACAAGAACGGGCGAGATCATGCTGGGGAAGCGGGACATCGATTACGGAGAGAGACGACAGCCATCGCCCCCCGCCCTACGGCGGCACGGCCTGGTTGGTCGGTTGGTTCACCGTTCACCGCAAATGGAACTGCCCACGCGTGCTCCGTAGGCCTCGCTGTCCCTCCCCCCACACACACTCCTATTAACTCTCCCCCTCACCCGCTGCAGACCGCATGATGATAACACCGCACCCAAATGATGGCCTGCCCCCGGCCACCATCACATGTACCCGAATGCCGTAGCAAATAGGAATCGCCACCATCTCCCGCCCTCCCTCTGCAGTTCCCCGAGTCCTCGAACGGGCCCCTGGGATCCGACGGCTTCCTTCCCCTCCTCCAACGATCCGACGACAGGAACGAGCGGAACGGGAGAGAGAGGAAGGCAAAAAGGCGTCCACTTCAAATGCTTCGGCATCGGATGGAGGAGCATCACGCGCAATCAAGACGAAGCGGGCGAGCGCACGCAGACGCACATCCACCCACCCTGCCTCCACGCCTCATCGATTGCTCTGCCTCCGTCTTAATGAAAGCGCAGGAAGGAGATCATGGCTTTGGAACCTCCCATCATTAGCTACCTCGAAAGGAAGAAGAAAGAGACAGAGACGTCGAGATATATATAGAGGGGAGCAGTAAGAAGGGGGCTTCACAGTCCAAGCCACCGACCCAATCCATATAGGCCTCGTAGGGCATCGAACTCCCCTCCCCTGTCTCTGGCTACTCCTGCTTCTGGTACTCGTGATCTCAGCTGGATCTCGTTGGTTTGCATTGACCCGTGCAGAAATCACCCCGTGAGTCTCCCTCTATATCTTATCTCTTTTGGCCGCGTGGGATTTGCTTCTCTCGCGTCCTCTTCGGGCTTCTTAGATTGAGCTTGCTGCATGCGTGGGTTGGTTTCCTTCTCTATCCCGTGGTGGTTTATATTGTGCTTAGCAGCTGAGCTGCTGCTTGCATTAATCCTTCGTCTGCAGGACCTGAGGATTCGAGATCAAGCCTGCAAGCATGCCGTGGGCGTCGGCGGCTGCTGACTTCTACGGGGAGTGCGTTCCCTTGGTCGTCTGCTTTGGTGTCATCGTGTGAAGGTCTCTGTCCATTCTTCTCTGCATCATCCTGCTGATTCTTTGTGCCCTCCTGTTAAAAGCATAAAGATTTTGTGCTGATCTGGTGAATTCTCGACAGCTGAGCTGGGATACTCGAGGGAGGATCGCTGTTCCCGGGAGAAAATTGGGAATGCACATTGAAGTCAATCTGAAGGGACACCAAACAGCAACCAAGGTTTCGGAGATCATAATGAGCGTTAGGATCATTGCTTATTCTCAATTGCTGCAAGTTTGTCAGGTAGTCTCCATGACAAACCTTTCGTGGTGGTGAATTCATGTTCGATAATCTTCTACTGAAAGCAGATTGCCACAGTGCCATTAATCCCTTTCTTTGGGATGTGGCAGGCTGAGTACTTCCGCCAGTTGCTTAAGCCTGTTACGTAGGTGGAAAGCTTAGCGTCGAAAGCAAGTCGAATCTGCAGTCTGCTTCTGTGTTCTTGTTTCTTGTTCTGTCACAAGGCTCTCATCGAGGAAGAGCTAATCAGATAAGCGTTCGGTCCTCGAGCGTCATTCCCTGCTCATCGTCATCGGTTCGTTCCCACTGACGGCGAGGCGCAATGCAGAGGAACCCAAGATATTTTGCTGGGAAGGCTCCGCCCGAGGACGCGTATGATGTGAGCGGCTATGGCTTCGACTCCACTGTCGCAGGGCACGAGCATCATCATGACTTCCCTTCTCCGCTGAACAACATCGAGTTCCAGCCATCTGAAACCTGCCCCAGGAACTTTGTCATCTTTGACCAGACATGCCACAGGAGCCGGGTCATGTTCCATCCTTCCCTGGCCCACAAGTTGGGCTCTCCGGGGCTCGATGTCCATGGAAGCCATGCCTACGAGGCTGGCAAAAGCGCGTACAGAGACGATGACGAGGACGCCGAAGATATCGATGCGTTGCTGAGTTCCGAAGAAGGCGAAGACGATGATGTAGTCAGCACCGGGAGGACGCCGGGCAGCTGGGGAAGCAGCTCGCCGGATACTGCATGCTCGTCGCGACCCAAGTCCGCTTCCTCCAAGAAACAAGTCTCCGGCAACGTCGGCAGTAGTAGCCACAAAAGGGAGAAGATGAAGAAGATGGTCAAGACACTCAAGGGCATCATTCCCTGCGGTGATCGCATGGATACTCCTGCTGTTCTCGACGAGGCTGTCAAGTATCTGAAGTCTCTCAAAGTTGAAGTGAAGAAGCTCGGGATGAAGCACCTCGACCACTGAAAGATTGATGGCAACGATCGACGGAGATGAGTTCAGGTTTTGGTTTTGGTTCTGTTGTAGGCCATTGTTTGGTGGAAGCATTTGCGGATGTTTGATGTGGCATTACAGATCCACGCTTTAGTTCTAAGGACCACTCTGTTTGAGATATCTTCTCGTCATGCTGGTGGTAATCTTGAGAGAACACTCGGCTAACAAAATCTCGGTGAGAACGACGCAAATGACCGTAACATGTTTCGTGCACGCATCATCAGAGCAACTGCGAAACCATTCGGTGCGCATGCTGTCGACCAGCCCACTTCATTCTTCTCCTATGACCACAAGCCATCGTCCCCAACAGCGGCTATATAAGCAGTCCCATGACGGAGGCATAAATCTCAGCTGCACAAGCAACAGCGCGATGGCGTCCCGAGGGGTGACCGCGATACTAGCGACGATGCTGGTGGTGGCGGCATTGGCCCTCCCGGTCTCGGTGGTGCGCGGCGAAAAGAAAGGCGATACTGGAATGGCGAAGGATTGCTCGGGACGGTGTGATATGTTGCCGGGGATCATCCGATATCTGTGCTGGATCATAGTTTGCGGTGGTCCACCGACTGGAGATCAAGGCCACGGCCCTGGCCGTATGCACTAATGATTCACAGAAGAAGAAGAGGAGACGACGGTACCGATCGTAGGTGTTGTCTCCTTTGTTGCACTGCGACGTTTCCCTGATAAATAAATTGTATTTGGATAAGAAATAATGTTCGGACCAGCCGCTATGAATCTACAAATTATCCCATAAACGGCGTACAATGATATAAGATCGTCTCGATGATCTATTACGATCGATGCTATGGTGTTGATTGTTGTTGGCAATATATGAGCTAAGACCTGTCCGTGGTAGTTATTCTTGTCCTCCTCTCCTATCGAAACGGAGAACAAAGAGGAAGTGAATTATCAAAGTATTTGCTGGAATTGCTTTTAATTATGTAGTGTTTTCCTCGATCACGGTTTAATCCGTTTTCATTGTAACTTGAGCTGAGTTAACTTAGCTTATTTAGTGTTTCTCTGTTCATCTCTCTCTCACACCTAATTCTACCACATAGAATCAACGAATCGCTAAATCTGTTCGGTTCCGATTCTGATTCCAATCTTATTAACACTCCTAATTCTACTATAAATCTGAATCAATCAACTGTTTGTGTCGATTATATGAAATGCTTCATGCACGTATCACCATTATGGACAAAGAACTAAAATTAAAGAGGTGGAAGAAGAAGAAGAAGAGATGCACCCAGCAGCTGGTTCTACTAGGATTTCGATGAGGGATGGGGTTGGGAGACGGCATACAAGGATCTCAGTTGCCTGTCTATGAGCTTGCTATGGCTGAGAGCCAGTTGTAGCTCCATATCATCCGACCACCATTGCTGAAGTCCATGAGCTTCCAGGAACCTCTGAGGCCCCTTCGATGCCACAAACAACTTCGCCGCCGCATCCCCATTGCGAGGAATTGGCTTCACCGCATCTGGACTGCCGTTTGCACCGACACCGGCGGTGTGGTTGTAGTAGCAGCAAATGTAGTCGCTGTTGTTCACGTACAGATTCGGCACCCATCTCTTGGCTTCTGCGGACGACCCATCCTTTTCCGAAGCCTTGGCTTCCTCTGCGGCAGCCGCGACCTCACCGCTACGAGCCACAACTTTCATTCTCCTCACCACGGAGCTCGCCTTCTCGCCTATGATCCTTAGGCTCATGACCAGCGAGACCGAGGGAGGGTTGAACAGGTGGCAGTCGACGAACACGCCTTGCATCGCCGATGCCTTGCCGATCTGGAGAGCAAAGCCAGCTCCCAGGGAATGCCCGCCAATGCACACGTTGGTGCTGCCGAAGCGGGCGACGGCCGACTGGAGCGCTTCGAGTGCTCCCGCGAATCTGACGGAGCCCTTCAAGCTCTCCCGTGCAAGGAAGCGGAGATCGTCTTGCAAGTCCCTCCGTATCGTAGGGCTCTTCAGCAACGTCCCACGGAGCGCCAGAACGGCCTTGGGAGCACCCCTCGGCCGCACCGGTACCAGATCGGCCATGGCGGCAGATCGGTCCCATTCCAGAATCGCGCCGTAGATGGAGCCATCCCTTTCGTCGATCAGAGTCCGTGTTAGCTTGTACTTGAATGGTTTCCACCAGTTTGGAGCGAGGCCATTCTCCTCTGTCTTCTTGTCTTGTCTGTCCAATTCTAACAGGTACGCGGCCTGAATGAAGCAAGCTATCACCATTCTCTTGTAGTTCGGGTCCCTCCTGCAAAAGCCACGCCGGGATCAAGTTAAAAGCATTGCAAGCACCACAGAAAAAGCCTCCGTGAGGAAGAGAAGCGTACCAGCTGGAGCGGATGAGATCTCTCCAATTGGGGGAGGGTAGATTGCGAGGACCCGACTCAAGGAAATCGTACGGATGCCGGGCCACCCCAGCCGCATCTCCGTCCCTTCCTCCTCTGCTATCTTCTTCTACAGAGCTCTTCGCCATGAACTGAACCACCATTGTCACCTCCGCTTCGCCTCCCTGCGACTATCCTCAACGCTATTTCTTCTTGTTTATTGGCGAGGAAAGGAGGCGAAGCGGGTGGATAAACTAGCGAAAGCAACAGCCCAAAGAGCGATGCATATGTATATGAGCTCGAAACGAATGGCAGCGTGCTCTCTCTCTCCCTCTCTCTTCTCCGCGTCGTGCTCGTGAGGCCCCTTGGAATCGACGGATGGCGGAAACGCGACGAGTCTTCTTACTCGCGAGCGCCGCGCTCTCGAAGAACGGCCGCTTGACTTGTTCCACCTCGTAGGACTTCTGCTCGGAAGCTGGCTGAGCCAGCCCTGAAGAGAATCAGGGGCGAACGAGACGCCACCCGACTAGTGGGCCCACAGGCGCGTGAAGTCCAGCAGGGAAACACGTCGCCCAGACGACTTCCAATGGTGACTCAGTTGCCCCCAGTCAGTCCAGTCAACGGTGCGGTGTCGGCGAGCGGGTCTGCGTCTGCGCAACTCGAACGGAAGGCGGCGGAACCTTCGGGTGAGGCGACGAAACTTCTGGATGGAGCTACGTGTCGGCAGGACCCCCGGATGAGGCTGTACTAAATCTCGGTGCCTAACGAGTAAACCGGAAGAACACTGTGCTATATTTGATTAGCTGTAACATGTTCGATCCACCTGATGAGGTTGGACGAATCCCATTCAAGAGAAAAGAACGACAGAGAAATCACGGATCGACATCCACTAATACAAAAGTACGTCTTCTTCAAGTCATCGTTAGTGGGAGTCGGTGATGGCGGAGCCGGCGCTCTCCGTAGGACGTTGACTCTCTATCTCCGGTTCACATGTGACGCGGCCATGCAGATTAGCTATGGGATCAAAGTCATCGAAGTGTGGTACGAATGGACTTCATCAGCAAAGTAACCCATCTTTTTCTTTTCTATTTATTTCCCGCTATCTTCTTTTCCCCGTTTCTTATTGCTGACCAGCGTAGGAAGTGGTAATCTAAGCTGCATTAGCGACAAAGATGCTGGAAGTGATTGGTTTATGCAAGTAACTCAATACACTTGATTGCTAGTTTCTGACTTGAATTATAAACATTATCTATCGTGTTAGTCTCCACGGGCTGATTTCTACCTGAAGTGGTGGAGATTTCCAGAAAACCACAACTCGAGTATGACTTTTCCCCTGGTTTGGCAAGACTATACTGGTTGGTGAACTCGTTCGTTGTGATTGAGGAGTCAGGTTTGGTCCACGGGTTGATGTTTGGAGTTTTCGATCGATCGGAAGAAGTGTTAGAGCTGGCTGGATCGAGGGTCGGGCTGTCGACGTTGTCTTCTAGGAAGGTATCTCTCGGTTGGTTGGCAGAAGTGCTGAAGTTGTATCAGAAGGTCGAGATAGTGACCACGTCTTCTGGCAAGGCGTTTCTTGGTCGAGATGGTCATGCCTTCAGGGGTGGTCGAGCTCCTCGTCGGGGGGTTTTCGATTTTGGCCTCTCGTAGTTTAAGTTAGTGATCATTTTTTTCTCCCTTTTCTCTATCTCCTAGCGAGATGCCGGTCAAAGGTTTTTATACTGTTGGGCGAGGATCGATCGTACGTGAATTTGGCGTGACAGTCGATCCCTTGAGTGACGAGATGGTACCGTTGTGTGGTTGCTGCCTGGTATGCACGAAATGGCGCAATGCGATGCCGTCCCAAGCTTTCCGGGACGGGACTCGCCGAGCCCTATATGGGTCTCGGCTTTGCGCAGGGAAGCACCTCTCGTGCTGATAGGGGCGTGATGCGGTGTGAAGCGTGACTTAACTAGAATCCAAAATATGCTTTATCAATACCATTGATGTTTAAGCAAATGTTGTCTAAAGAAGCTAAGTTTAAGCTTAAAAAAAAAAAGGAGTAGGATACGTGAGATACGGAGGTCTATCGGCAGAACAGAGATTCTGAACTGTTGTCCTATCTGAAGTCTGTCAATATTTACCAGCAAAGAAAGTAATGCAAGGACAAATCTCATGACCGATGAAAGCAAAACAATGGCGGAAGCTTGGATTTCCCTTCTTACATTTATGGTGAGGGAACTGAAGACTGTATCCTTACAGATTACAACTCTGTGTGATGAGTAATGGAGCACCGACCTACGTAGATACAGAACCAGGCCAAAAGTGAAAAGCAAGAAGAAGAAGAAGAAGGAAAAGGAAGGTGACAAAAATGGCTTTGCTGTAATGTTGAGCTCCCTACCTTTCCTTTAGGGGCAAAAAGCTGTGACCAAAGCTCATTACACTTACACACCTACTGAAATTCTCCTTTTGTTTCTGTTCCTTGGAATGCCGTCGGGAACCTGGTGGCTTCTGGCTCTACATCTCGGCGCATCTCCTCGGCGTGAATCCCAGCCGGGAATTCTTCATGTCGTACGAAATGTGGAAATTCTGCTGCTGGTAATTGCCCAGTATCGACAGCGCCGACTGCGGCGTCGCCAGGATCGCCAGGCACATGATCTCCTCCGCATCCAGCCTGATGAAGTAGTTCTCCTTCGGGAAGTTCCAGACCGCGCCGTCTCCGAACGTGATCGCGAATTCCGGCAGCTCCACCTTCGACACTCCAGACACGTTGTAACAAGGATTCAGCATTGTGAAGTCCACCGCCATTGGGTACTTCACCTTCTTGACGAAGGCTTCTCTAATCTTCCGATAGGCCGGGTCGGGGAAGTAGCTCAGCGTCGTGCCGGAGTCGATAATAGTCCCTCCGCTGCCGTCCTTCGCCAGCTCCCACGTCGCTGATGGTATCTGCAATGCCTCGCCGCCAACCTTGATCGACTCAATCTGGACATAGTAGAAGGTGTCGATGGGGTTCTCTTTCCCGGCCACGAAGGTGGTGTAGTTCATCTCCGGGTCGCCGAGCAGCCGCTGGTCCTCGCCGAAGATGAGCTTGCTGCTGACGCTGAGGTCGCTGTTGCGGTCGACGAGGCAGTAGGAGAAGGTGTGGCCGTAGAGCGAGCGGAGCTGGGAGGAGAAGGAGAGCGGCCCGCGGCCGAGGCCCAAGAGGCCGGCGGCGCCGTGGAACATCCCGCGGTTCCAGTGCCCGCACCCGAAGATGACGTCGTTCACGCGGCGGAACTCGGCGCCGCTCCCGTCTGGTGCGGTGAGGTTCACGGTAAAAGTCTCCAGGGCGAGGTCGCCTGTCGTGTTGGAGCGGTCGCCGTACCAGTAGAAATAGGGGCAGGCCTGGTCGCGGCCGCCATCGGCGGCGGCGGTGCGGCAGGGCTGGGGCGGGCCAGGCGACGAGACGAGGCCGCAGCGGGGGTCGGAGCAGCTGACGTTGCGGAAGGAGGAAGATTCGACGGGATCGTAGACGGGACCGTGCTGCTCGAAGCAGTCATGGCAGGGGAGGCACTGGATCCAATTCAAATCGCTTCCCGTGTCGAGGATGAGGGAGAAGTGGCGCGACGGCGTACCGACGAAGACGTCGATGAAGTACTCGCCGGAGTTCAGGGTGGCGCCGGATTTGACACTGGCCATCAGCCGTCCGGCCAGCTCCGGCGGCGTCGCCACGGCCGCCTTTTGGCTCATCTCCGGAACGACCGGGTGGCGATCGGCCGCGGCGGCGCGGCGGGAGATGGCGTTTTGGTTCTTCCTTTCGGTGATCCTCCTAAAGAGAGTCTCGATTCTGAGGACGTCCCTATAGGTCGAATGCTCCAATGACTCCTTCTTGGTCCTGTCGGCCGCCGCTGCGTCCCTCGTGGACCGATGCTTAAGTTGGAGCCTCAAGGCCGGTGCCGCGCCATCCTTCGCACCTTCGTCGTCTTCCACCCCGCTCTCCATAGCGCCATTTAATGGCCTGTGTCTATCTTTGCTGGGCGATCCGGCGGAAGAGCCGGCCGCGTCGAGCTGGTGGTCGCAGCTGGGCTCCCCGGAGGAGGTGATGGCCTCCAAGCTCAAGTGGGTGGGCAATTCGATCCCGCGAAGCCGAGATCGATGTGTCGCCGAAGAGCTCCAGTTGTAGACAGAAACCGACGAACGAACAGGTCGGAGAAGACAGCAGCAGAACAGGAGGGGAAGCCAAACAAGGATTGCTTTGGAGGAAGACATCTTCGGAGCTCGACCTTCATGAACCCAATAATAAGCAGAATAGAAGGATGAGGAGACAAGCGACTAAAGAAGACGAAGACGGAGTAGGCAGTGGCAGGAGGCCTCTTTTTCTGCCGCCTGCGTGACCAAGAAGACCCCCCAGCTTTGAAGGCTGAGACGCGGTTCCGTAGACGTCTCAGACCGCTATATTCATCATACTATATCTTAGTCTACAGTAGTTTATGGTTTGCCGTCGGTGTTTGAATCATTGTGCTTGTTCACTTGGTCATGGCTTGCTAATGGCTTCCTTACCACTCGTCCATCGATCATGTTGGACCATCGTGCTTCGTGTTCCTTAACAAAAATAGACCAGTGCTGCTTGTACTAGCTACAGAAGGGCTCTGAAATGAGGCGGCCGTCATTAATTGGCGCACCAATCGGTCTTGCTCGAGTACATGGTTGTTCGAAAGGATTGGTGTGTGAAGCGAGTCAAGACGGGGCAAATGGTCAAAATGTCGGGCTACCTGCAACAGCTACTTCTTCTCCACGTCATGACGTCCGGTGGACCCACCTCCAAATAAGACGAGATTGTCCGCTGAATTTTCAAGGTGACACATGACGGAACACACACATATGGAGTGTTGGACCAATCAGCTCTCTTTCATGTGTGTAACGATATTAAAGAAAAATATATGCAGGAGGAGGAGAAATCACAAGTCTAATTTTATATAGATATATATAACTAATAAAACGATACCGCAACAAAATGTTCGTTAGGCCGTCATAACACCACACGTCGCCTCACCGACAGAGGCTCGTGTCGGCTGCCGTTACGGTGGAACACGAGGGTGATGCGTGTTCTCCGATAACCAGCAAGAAACGTTCTTTGCCGAATCCAATCACACACTTTTTTATTCGTGATATCCATAACGAATCATATAAAAGATATTTTGTTTATTGTTTAGAGGTCGATGTCAAATTGATATCAATTCATGTCTAATTTTTTGGGAAAAAAACATTGGTAAATGATCGCTCTATTAGATAAGTCAACCCTCTAACAGCAGCTTCATCGATCTCACACCAAAGATTTGGAGGCGAAACTGGTGCCAGGGTGAATCGATTCCAGCGAGGCAAAATGGGTTTGGTCAATTGCTTGTTGTTGACGGTCACGTTATGAGTTGCACCTACTCTGGATGATGAACCTATTCGTTGGCTTCTCTGTTTGGCTCCACGTGGAAACCAGATCAGTAAATTCAAGCCAACTAAATCAGTCATTTGACTTTACGACTTCTCGGACCCTGTCACGTCACGAGCCCCCTCGGTCAAGCATCCTCCTCCTCCTTCTCATCATTCTCGTAAGAACAAAGCATGGCAGATAAATCATGGTTAGAGAGACAACGGCAGATAGTTGCATCTACGGTGATGCATGGACCTTTGGGAGAGACGTAGTTGGGCCAGATATTTGCGTACGAGCATACAAGACAAGTCGGCCCAACTCGACCCGTCGACAACGTAGTTATGGTTGGGACCCACACCTGACAGCGATGACATCACGCGTCGCCTTCGACTTCGCTGGAGGATCCCACAGCTCGTATCGACGGGGAGACGGCAACCGTGAGCAGGATGTGTGGGTCCCGCACGGCCTCTGCAACCATCGCCCGGGTAATCCTACGGGCAGAAAAGAAGGGTTGGTTCAGCTGCTTCTCGCGCCGCATTGAAGTCTCCATGGAGGTCGGACCACCGACTTGCCCGTCCCGTCCGGGCTTAGCTGGCTCACCCGTCTGGCTTGTCGTGATCACTCCCGTCGGGTCCCACCACTTCTTCGAGTCTGACTCTCATAAAACTGCAGGTAGCTTTGTGAGTAACGAGCGATAGGGTGTGGAAAGCATAGTAATTGCTCCTTGACGTCATGAAACGAGGCGGAGGGTAAAGCCTTAATGACATCGGTGGGAAGAAGAGTGAGACGAAGCAACCCAAGAAAAGGGTGCGGAGAAGGCGAAAAGGGGGGGACAAGGAAGAAAAGGGCGAAAAGATGAGCGAAGAGGAGGGCAAGAGCAAGGGGCAGTACGGCACCTTCTCGGGCGCACACGACTACGCCCAACCCGCCATCGGCTTCCCCCAGCCGGTGCCGCCGCCGGGCCTCACCGCTGCCCACCCTCCACCTCCACCACCGCCGCAGCAGTCTGGGCCCCCCTATTACGCCCACGGCTACCAGGCCGTCCCCGGTGTGCTACCCTCCTCTACTGATTCCCGTAGATTTGCTCACTTCACTTCGTCTGTCGTCTGTCGTCGTTAGTTGGGTCTTGGATCTTCGTCGTCCCATCTCGTTTTTTGGGTAGTATGCAACTTTGATGCATGATTAATAACGATTTCTTTGAGTATTGTTGGGTTGTCTGTCTGGCACAAGTCACTTTCGAAGTGGTCGAGGGAATTCATAGCGGCACAGAGGGTTGAAAGATAAGATAGGGGCTTAGTTTGATCGAAATTAGGGCAAGAGGACAAGTCAAATGGGATCTGAATGGTTTCTTTGTTTTCTATATAACGCCGATTCTTGTTATCTTCAACGATCGGGAGGATGGGTTCTTCGTTCAATTAGAAATGTCCCATGGGGCTTTTGTAACAGTCTGAATTACATGAATGTGATCCGCTTTCTCTTCTTCTCCTTTGTGTATTTGCATGATCTTGTTACGAGATCTTTGCTAAATTTTTCGCATCTGTAACTCCTCGTTGGTTTCTTGAGTCTTATTCCGCATGTAATATGCGGCTTCTTCTTTACATGATTAGTTATTGCATATAGCTCTTTTTTTGTATGTTATCTTGCTACCAAATACCTGTAAAAATTTTTGCATCTGTAACTCCTCGATGGTTTCTTGAGTCGTATTGCATATATAATATGTGGCTTCTACTTCTTCTTCTTTCATGAGTAGCTATTGCATCTGGCTTCTTTTGTAGATTATCCTGAGCCTTATTCCATATGGAATATGCCGCTTCTTCATCTTCTTTTCGTGATTGATAATCGCATCTGGTTCTTTTTGTAGATTATCTTGCTACCAGATCTTTGTAAATCTTTTGCATCGGAAACTCCTCACTGGATTATTGAGTCTGTAACTCCTCGCTGGTTTCTTGATTTTTATTGTATGTAAAATATGTGGTTTCATCTTCTTCTTTCATGACTAGCTATTGTATTTTTTGTGTCTGTAACTCCTTGCTGGTTTCTTGAATCTTATTGCATATATAATACCCCTTGCTGGTTTCTTTGGGTCTTGTTGCATATACACAATCTGCAGCAAAATAGAGGAATAGAGTACTTTCTTGTGGGTGCCAAATTGAGTTACCTTGGTCAGACTAGATACCACCTTTGTGTAAAATATTAATATTAGGATAATAGTTCACAAAGCCAAATGATTTGAGATGTCTTTTCTGTAATCTCTAAAAATAGGATTTTCTTGTTTCTTCAAAATCTAAAGTTTTCTTAATAATAAGTGGTAGGCCTCCATTCATTTAACTATTGTTGACCAGGACGTTTTGTTTTTTTTTCTTTGATACACATACATGGCTCTGAAACACTAAAGATTGTAAGGTTACATGGGTACTGTGGATAGGCATACTAACAAATTATTAACCCTCTGCTTCTGCTGTTATTGTTGGAGTCTTGGAAGGTTGTATTTTGTATAATATTTGGAGAACTAACAGTTAAATGTAGCTGTGATGAATCTTGAAAAGATGCTTGACAAATCTTTAAGGATAGTTAAATAATGAATGTGCCTGTATGGAGGTTGCTTAAGTTAGTGTGAACCTGGAAATTCCACTGGTAAAGAAATAATAATTAGCAAAAAGAAATGTTTTCTTGAGAAAATAGATATGTTGGTTAAGAAACGATTGAAAGAACTCTCATGCAGATCTCATAATAAAACCATCTACATTAAGCCTAATGTACACAAGAGGCGTTCAAGGACTGAGAGTGAGAAACCAATAAGGCATATGAAGGACAAAATATGTCTTCTTTCGAAGTTGCTGGTTACTAAAATATGACTAATTATCATTATCATTTTTATTTTTTTATCATTTCAAACTTCATGCACATTTTCAATTTTCTCTATGCACCCAAAGCTTACCTCTCTTGTGCTTTAGGAATAAGAATCTGAAAAGATAAAAGTTGGGGTGAAGTTTGCATGCTCTGATTTAGGTTAGAATGTGAGCCTTACAGCGCGGAATGACCACTTCTCCCTCTGTCAAACATTTCCCTTGTTTGAAGCTTTTTAGTGATTATCATTCGAAGTGTCACACTTCACTTGGTTTGCATGAGAGTTCCTTTGGGTTGATAGTTCATTCATATTCTTTTCGTCTATCCATCTAAAATTCTTGACTTTTTGATAGTGCAAAATTCTAAATTGATGTTGATTATTTGTCACATTTTTTAATGGTTTAGACATTGCCTCTTGAATCGATGTCCACCAGGAACTATTTTGGTACATTTGGGAAAGAATTTATTTTATTTGTTTTGCTTATTATATTGAATGTTTTGCCGACATCAGTGATTTAAAGTTAGATGTTTTATATAAGTTTAATTGTAGTCATTGCCGATTCAAGATCACCACACTAGGTCATGTAATCTCTTGTCATGCCAGTGTGCTCTATAGCATCTAATGTTTCGTTATCACCTTCTAGGTTATGCACCTGTTGTTGAAGGAAGACCATTGAGACTGCCACGTCTTCCTTGCTGTGGCTTGGGCATTGGTTGGCTTTTGTATGTCAAATCTTACTTTTCCCTAAACATGTATATATAGCTGTATCTACATCAACATCTACACATGTTAATATAAATGTTTTTATGTGTTTATGTAAGTGTGCGCATAAAAACACATATAAATATATAATATTTATATGCATATACATATACCCTTATATGTATATGCATGAACAGAATCTAAAAATATGTATGCATGAACATGTATGTGTGTTATATGTTCATATATATGCATGAACATGTATATCTGTATAATATATGTATGTAAACCTCTTTTAGTCCTTTAAATATGTTTTATCGGTTCTTAATCTGTTTGGAAGCTAATGATAAGTGCCTTTTTGTTCTTGGAAGGTTCATAATTGGTTTCTTTCTGGCTGCTATCCCATGGTATGTTGGAGCTTTTATTCTCCTTTGTGCTAGAATAGACTACAGAGAGAAACCAGGCTTAGTTGCTTGCACAATTGCGGTAAGTGAATTTTTCTCTAAAGACATGGATGTTGTTTTACTATCGTGTTTCTGAACTTCTATATTTTATGAACTGATTTTTGTTTATTATGTTAATTGTTTTACACTTCTATCGTGTTGGTATGCTCTAAGGCATATTTAATGGTTAAACTATGTCTATTTTTAAAACATTAATTTCTAGCCAATAATTTGCAAATGGGCATTATGGTAACAAAATAACTATCATTTTATCTGATTGAGTCATTCATGAGGATTTCTAATGATCTTGTTATAAGGAGGCACCAGAACTGGATTAAAACACTCCCTCTCCTGGCACCATCACTGCCTTGCCCATTGCTTGTTAGGTCCATCTTTCTCACTTCATTTTGGGCCAACTCCTCTCCACACGTTGTGTTAGGATGAATCTGTTTGTTAGTGTTGGTGCTTAGATCTAGGGAGAGTTACAACTTAATTAGTACTCTGATTTGTACTGTCTTAAATTTGACTGGTTCAAGCAATACATGTGCCACAATCCCATTCATCATTTTTTATCTACATAAGTCAAAGCCCATACAACTGACGATGTCTCCGGCATAAATGCAAGGAGGATGCATCGAAACTTGAACAACTGTTTCTTATTCTCCTAATGGGTCAAAGCAAAGTCTTTGTAAGGTTGTCTTGCATAAGAATTTTGCATGCAAATCTTTCATTTCCCTTGATAATGAGAGAATCATCTTCTAATTTTGTTTTAGATTCCATTAAAGCAATGTGCCAGTTAGGTTAAAGTTTCAGAGGCTTATTTTTGTACTTATTATGATGTTTCATAAGTTTGCTATTGTGGTGAAAATTATTGCATATGAATTTTGTAGGTAAAATGTTTTGTGAAACTATCAAAAGTATCATTTAGAAATTTGGATCATATCTATGCCATTAACAATCGTACCATAGACAGCCACGAACTTGATTTATCGTGCACGTCTCTCTCTCTCTCTCTCTCTCTCATTCTCTCTCACGCACAATCATCTACCTCATACATGTATCATGCATGTATTTTTCATCTACCTCATACAATAAAAGTCATAGACTTCCTTTTGACACTTCCTCCATATCATGTTCTAAACCATTTGAAATTATTTATACTGATGTTTGGGGCCTTGCTCCCGTCACTTTTTTTGATAAATTTAGATTTTATGTTATTTTTGTAGATTATTTTACTAAGTATATATGGATATACCCTCTTCGTCATAAATCAGAAGTTTCAACAATCTTCACCAACTTTAGAAAGCTGGTTGCAAACTTCTGTCAGTCTACAATTAAAACGATCTACAACTGAAGCTGAATATCGTGCTATTGCTACCGTTGGTTGAACTCAATTGGGTCACAAATCTTCTCAAGAAACTTAAAATCAGCTCTACCCATACTCCTACAATATATTGTGATAATATTGGAGCTACCTACTTATGTGTCAATCCAGTGTTCCACTCACGCATGAAACACATTACCACCGACTTTCACTTCATGCGAGATCAAGTTGTCAGACATCAACTTCATCTCTCATGTCCATACGGTTGATCAACTAGCAGACTCACTCACAAAGCCTCTAGCCCGCAAACTATTTTTGTTGCATTGGTCCAAGATCGGTATCCTTGACAGGAGCTCGATCTTGTGGGGGCATGATAACAGAGATATTTCCTCTGATAATAGAGAGATTTCCTCAACTGCATAGCAGATGAGACTTCCTCAACTGCATGAGAAAATCTCTCTGCTCAGTTAAAGAAATCTTTTCTTTGACCATGTATAAATAGACTTCATGTGATACTAATTGGAATGTGCTTTTCTCTTAACCTTTACAATTTTATTCTTCATTCTCTCATTTTATCAGTAATAACTATTAAGCACATGAATGAATAATGATTAATAATGTTCATGAATAGGATATGATGAAGTTTTGCTTGTGGATGGTGAGGCTAAATAAGCATTAAATAACAAAAACAATGGGGCAGTTGTAGATAAATTATACTAGGAATAAAAGGTTAGCGGCATTTCATGATATACACAAATTGAAGAATGGTGAACATAGCACTTGTAGAATTTGTTTCACTTGATTTGAAAGAAGCACACTAATCCATCAAGGTGATGGAAGATTCGGAGAGAGTGGGAGCATAATGTAAGTTCTCTAATTGGAGAAAGCATGTAGTGGCAAGTTAGAACGGTTAGCTCTTGGGTTTCATCTTATACAAGAGTGATGAAATGATCTTTTATTTTTTGTTATCTTTGCTTTATTGGTCTAGTTCTAGAACCTGGATGAATCAGAATGTGGATAAATGTGTCCTATCTTGTCACTGATTAGGCTGTGGATGATGGTTAATCATTTTGATCTTTGTGCTCTTAATGGAGCATTACTTGTTAATGGACATTTAGCATGTCTTTTTTCCATCCTTCCGATGATGAGTTGTGACCAATGCATGATTCAAATAAAAATGATCTAGTTGTGATCTATGATGGTTGACAAATTTGAGAAAGTTGGCTTGGGATCGGCTTATAACAAACATAAGATTAAGAAGAAAAGATGGAGAAGTGTGTGGCTGTTGACTGTCGATCTGACGAGAAGCAAAGATTATAGGAAATAAAGATTAGTGTGTGGCTGTTGAATTATGGTGATTGGATTAAAGTGGAATGAGATGGAGAAGTGGGAGCCTTCTTTGGACTCCCTAGCCCTCCATACATATTCACATGCTTTGTATTTTATACAGAACATAGATGAGAAAATGGCTTTTTGGTCTTAATCATGCCCACCTACCCGATTTTCTTTAACAATTTTTAAGCGCTTCTTTCTGATGAGGGTTGATGTTGTTCAATGAGCAGGCAGTTCTTGCTGCGATTGCTATTATTATTGGTGCAACGAAGGGAGCTGATGTGTGGTGATCGTCGTTATGTTGTGTATTAATTAATACTTCCGACTCTACATGAACGCTTGTGGATTCTCATGTGAGCTTGTAATATGTGTGTATAAAGTCGTACTTTCTTGAGTGGTTCTAAATAAATTCTTGATTTATTTATGAAAAAACACTATATGTATTGATTCTTATCGGTACTCATTTACTTGAATCCCCAAATACATCTGTCGGGGAGGTGGGTGCGCTATTTTTATTTCTTGTAGCTAGTTGTTTGGACTAATTCGAACTTCATACGGTTAGTTTTTATGATTAACTTGTGTTTCAAGTTTTTATTTAAGCACAGGAGCCATTCTTATAGTCATACTTGTGAATTAATGAAGATGTGAAGCTTAGAACGTTTAATGCGTTTAACTAATACTGTTCCAAAATGCAAGCTAATCGAGAGACAACGCTACGAGTACTGCATATAAGAAAAGATAAAGGAGGAGACAAACTTTCAGTACATAAAATACTAACTGCGTTAAACAACCAAGAGTTGATTCACTTATTACTCAATAAGGGACGAAAAGTATAAATTATTATTATAGGCAAAAACAAAATTTCCTGTCTAGTTAATATTAAAATAAGTTAGTTGCTTGTAATTTTTTTTTATTATCGGATTACGTTTTTACATCTTGCATCACAGGGGACATTGGTGCTTTATGCACTACATAGCATTCCATATTTTTCCATCTTAACAATTATGCACTACATAATGCCCTTTGTTAAATAAAGCACAAACTTGTAAAGATGAGCGCAAACCACATGTTAGAAGTTGTCCAAGAACAACAATTTAGAAACACATTCTGGGTAATCTTCGAATAGGAGAGGAAGCCATCAAATCGCTTGGTTGTGCTCTGACATGCAACAACAGTATCTAAATAATACTAAGCATTTAATTACGATGCAAGAAAGAAAAACCAGCTTCGAGAAATAATGAAATATTAGAATTAAAAGAACAGTATCTAAAAGAAAATCTTGTTAAGACTACAAACAAGTAGAATTAAAAGAACATCCGTTGCCAAACTCCAAGCGTAACTCGCAAATAAAACTAGAAAATGAGAAATAATGAAATATTAGACACCAATGCTCAATAAAGACCTAGGCATCAAGAACTTGCTGCGGGTCCACTACCATGCCACTTGTTGAACATTCAAAGCCTTGAACCATCCAATCGTCTAAGTGAAGCCTTTAAAACATGGTGCAGGTTCAAGTATTGAACTGCCCACCTTTTAACCCAAAAACGAAAACAAGGACTTGTGGTCATAGGTCTGGTCCAAGGGAATCAGATGGCATGAGGTCTGCATGGTCCCCTTACACATTGCATCTAAATATGTAGACACACAACAGTATCTGACATATAACCAAATTCTCTCTCTAACAAAGCTTAACAACAAAATAGGGTGAGATCACTAACGGAACATATGACAAATGTATTCCAACTCATCATCATGGTTCATCAATGGAACATATAGCATCATAAAATGGATCCACCTAAGCTGTCGTTTAAACTGTTGGATGAAATCGAGTGAAACAAGCTACATCAAGGTTTCTGGACCTCAACTATGATCAACTGAAGATGAGTATTGATCTGATTGATTTATTAGCTGTGGCAACCTCATTTTAACCCTGATAATCTTATAAGCCCACTCCTTTTTTTCAGATCAACTGAAGAATGTTGATTTATTGATCTGAATGGGACAGTTAAGTTGTTGATAAATATTCAGAATGTTGTAACATTTTCTAGAACAATTACACAACTAGCATGTCAAGATAGTTCCTTGTTCAGTGCTGCATAAGTGAAGAAAACAAAATTGATGTGTGGCATCATAAATAAAAATAAAGAAATGTTCACAATCCATGAACAAGCATGGATCATTTCAGTTGAGAATAAATAAGAGAACACCATTTGGTGATGCAAGAAATGGTAATGAAAATGTAAAAAGGTATTTTGATGGCTCATAATTTCACCGGCAATATTGCTCTGCTCTTTATGAAGCTCATTGACAAGAAATGATCTATGAGGTGAATCACAAATAGTTGAGATCTAAAGATTTTGTTGCCATTGTTGCATGGTTTTCAGAAAGCTAAGGCAAAATGAAACAACTGTAGCTCCAATCAAAAATTTAAATCTTAGCCCAAGACTAATTCCAAAACTAGGTTGGACTCGTACTACACTTGTGCTCCGATGGCATATCACCCAATGTTGCCTGTATCAATGAAATAATAATAATAATAATAATAATAATAATTTCGATTCTGTCTGGCACCTACCTATATGATGCTTGGTCAGACCTTCCAACAGTTTCCTCAAATACTGCTTCATCTAAAGTGCAACAACATTCTTTTAAATGAAAAAAAAAACATGACAAATTCATAATCTGTAATACCAAAATTTTATCCTATTTTATCTACCAAGGGTGACTTCCTCTAATGACCTAGCCAATCACATCCTCTCTAACATTTTCATCAGCCTAACGTTATCTAATTTGCGATGGCACTCCTGGTTTAACAAACATACATGACCTAATCAGTGCGTTAGCAAACCACCACACAGTTTGATTCTTTTGATCCTCAACAAGGAGATACACCTCCAACTTATAGTTATGTTCTTAGCCATTTTATTCTTTTACTTGTAAGACCAAGCGCCATATACTACATAAGATAATCTTTTAAATGTTACCAAGTATCAAGTCAAGGAAATTGCTTCTCAATCATGCAATGACAGGAGTCTCATGCATGTTTCATTAAATGTCACCGAAGATATCCAATTTCCCACGACCTAAGGCCTGGTTTTAGATTCCTCTGGATTTCTTCCTATATTTTTCTACGAACATTAAGTATTACTATGTCTCATAATTGGAAACCCTGATTTCAATGTATGAGATCCTTCCCTTTCTGTTGCGTTTCTGCTTTCGTCTTAGGGTTTCTTGTTTCTTCATGGCACTAAAACCCTAACTAATTTGGCATCAAGAAACAAGCAACCCCAGACTGTTAGCAGAAACAAAAAAATAGGACGAGGATCTCATACTTTGCAAGCCGACACCCTACCAAGAGTTGGCGGGGTTCGTTACCCCGGAGAAAATCCTAAGGTTCCAGTGCCAAGAAGAAGAAGAAAGAAAACCCACGAAAGCTGAAACAAGACAATAGGAGAGGGAACTGACCCCGAGCTCCCGCGCGGATCGGAAATAAGATAAAGAACCGCGCGATGATCCGCGCCGACAGCCGCATCGCTCGCGAGCTTGCATCAAGAAAGCAGAGGAAACCAATCGGCCAACAAGACAATAGGAGGAACTGACCCCGAGCTCCTCCCCGACGAAATCGAAATCGACGGTCATGGACATGCTAGCGCGGACAGGGAAGAACTTAAAGAACCGCGGGATGTTCCGCGCCGACAGCCGCTTCGCTCGCGTGCTACCATCAAGAAAGAAAAATTCACCAATCGACCAACAAGACAATATGAGAAGGAACTGACCCCGAGCTCCTTCCCAACGAAATCGAAATCGACGGTCATGGACTTGCTGGCGCGGACCGGGAAGAACTTAAAGAACGACGGGATGATCCGCGCCGACAGCCGCTTCGATCGCGTGCTTCCATCAAGAAAGAAAAAAGAAACCAATCGGCTAACAGAAAACCATCGAAATCGAAACCCTAGATACCGAAAGAGGACCGGGAAAGAAAGGAAGGGAGAGATGGTTAGAGAAAGAAGAGGAGGTAAGGATCTGGGACTTGTCCTTGGCGTGGCGGCGGCGCTCCCCGAGATCGTAGAGCTTCTGGACCTCCGGGGAGTCGTCGGCGCAAGCCGGAAACATGGTGCCGGAGACGAAAGGAGTTAGCGGAAGCCCTTTATTTGGAATAGCGTGAGGCGGTGGAATAAGCCAATTCAATTTTGAATTGAGGCGCGCAGCGTAGTATTCGGGCGCCCATATTTATAGGGGCACAAAGGTGTATTTAAGTCTTTCCATAGACGTGAGGACGTGGAGTGACTAATGGGGCCCATTGCTGTAGCTAACCGGGCTGTAACGGTCCGATTCGTCCCAAGGACGCGGTTGGGTCTTGCTCACCTCATCGGCCCAAATGGCCATTTCTGGGCCGGCGATTCCTACAAGCGTCTTTGAACCGGATCGAAATGCGATAATTGGATTTGATGAACTGTTAGTTCTTTCTTCTTGTATATTAAAATACCTTTGTATAATGTTTGCCAATTAATATTTATTATTGTTATTTTTACATGCAAAAATTGAGAAATTCAACTGTTTTTCCTTAGAATAATTGCATCAAAATCGGATTATGATTAAGAAATCATGATATTATGACTTCTTTAATAATCATGATTTGGTTCTAATTGGAACAGTTTGTAAATTACTTTAATCTGCCATCTTGACCATACTTGTTGTGGTCATACTGTAATGATCATAGTTATAGTAAAGATCGGGTTGGATTTAGATTGAGTCGATGTTGTTGTCTATGGGACCTCAAACAATTCAAGTGGAAACCAATGATGTTTTTAAGATCTCGATTACTTTCCATCTCCATAAAGCAATCTGTCTACCTAAACCCACCAATGTTGCTTCACCACAAGTTTCTTTGACTCACTCTACCAAATGGTGGCACCTCGATGGCCATGCAATCATGGTCACTTGGTGGGTAATTAGTTAAGTGAAGGGGCGTCGTCTTCCACACCAAAACCAAACAGCACTCACGCTGAGGATGATTGGAGGTGATTCCAAGCTGCTCTTGCACTCAAAGCAAGCAAAAGAACACTAGACATGATGCAGGGCATCATTGCTGAAAACCTCTTGAAGCATGAGATCAGTGCACAGAGATGGTGGTGGGGCTGCTCCCGTTCCATTATACAAGCCTTTGATCTCTCACCTCCGGTCCTTAGTTCGTCCTTCATCCCTATTCAAAATTCAAACACTTCGCAGCAGAATTCCCACCTTCATCGCTCTTCTTCTCTTTCAGCGGCAGCAGGGACAGGAGGAACGAGAGGATGAGCACGGCGAGGTTCATCAAGTGCGTGACGGTCGGCGACGGCGCGGTGGGGAAGACCTGCATGCTCATCTCCTACACCAGCAATATCTTTCCGACGGTAACATCCGAAAGCTTAGCTTTTAGCCGAAGAGTTCGCCCGGTGATCAGGTAGAGCTCATCTGTGTTTCTCTTGTTTTGATCGACTGCAATAGGATTACGTCCCGACTGTGTTCGACAACTTCAGTGCCAATGTGATAGTTGATGGAAGCACAGTGAACCTCGGGCTTTGGGACACAGCAGGTGAGCTTAATTGCCCCTGTTTACGAGGGACGCACTTCTTCTACTATAGCAGGTTTTGCCAAGTGTTGATTTCCAAAGCACAAATCTAGAAGATGACAGCAACTTCTCAGTCGATCTGTAGTTTAAGAGGAGAACAAAATGAGATGTAAGCTGATCCTTAGAGCATTGGGATTTCAGGGCAAGAGGACTACAACAGACTCAGACCTCTCAGCTACAGAGGAGCCGATGTGTTTCTTCTAGCATTCTCTCTCATCAGTAAGGCCAGCTACGAGAACGTGTACAAGAAGGTGTATGAATGAATGCCTTCGCCATGTTGTTTTCTCTGAGCTCACAATGCATCGGTTTTGTCTTCCATTTGTATCTCATCGTGCTCTTTTCTTTCTTCTTGGCAGTGGATTCCTGAGCTGAGACATTACGCTCCTAATGTGCCCATCGTCCTCGTCGGAACTAAAATTGGTAAGCAATCGGCACAGTTTCTTAAACCTCTTTAAGCTCATTTAACTCTTTGAAACATGCTAGTCAATGAATTATGTGATCTTAATCTTCAAAAAAAGGAGTAAATTGGATTCCTTGAGGTGCAGATTTACGAGAAGACAGGCAATTTATTATCGATCATCCTGGGACAACACCTATCACAATAGCACAGGCAAGTTTTCCTGCTTCGGCTGACTCTGCCAAGCAGTTCTTATCAGCCCAAAACTAAATGTGGCATACTGTTTCATCTGAAACAGGGAGAAGAGCTAAAGAAAATGATAGGTGCGGCCGTCTACATAGAATGCAGTTCCAAGACTCAACAGGTAGTGCGAGGTTAAGAACATCGCATGAAGGTGTAATGTTGGAGTTATCTAATGACTACTGTATCGATCATTGACTTCTCGTCTTCGTTTTCTTTAGAATGTGAAGGCGGTGTTTGATGCAGCAATAAAGGTGGTTATTTACCCACCAAAGCCAAAGAAAAAGAGCCGAAAGCAGAGGACTTGTCTCATTCTATGAGTGCGGTGACTCTCAAGGATAGTGCAACTCTTTCGTCCTTCTTCCTCTGTTTCTTGGTTCTATTCCGATGGAGTGATGTAATCTCTTGTTCGTGAGAATGTCTTTGTCCTGTTGATTCTTTCACCGCATGCAAGAATTGGTCTTTCCCAAAGCTATGAAAGTGATGTGTTGCAATCAGCAATTCGTGTCGAGATTTTTGGGAAATATACGAAAAGAACCAATTGTAGTGGAAACAAAATCGACTCATAAATCATAAAAATGAGAGTACAAATGCATGCAGGAAATTACTCACGATAGCAAACCAGACAACCCATTCGATGCTCTCCTTAGAGAAGACTCCCCATGCACGCCAACCCGACCCACAGAAGCAGAACCCTTTCTGTGATCCTTCCCTCAGGGCTAGCTGCAGAGGGCGCTGCCTCAGCGCTGGCCGAAGGCCCGTCCGCTGCCGGAGAGCCTTTGTTGGGCTTCTCTGGAGCCACCGCGGGAGGCGGCGACGACGCAGGAGGCTTCGCCCCGAAGAGCTCGGGGGCCAGCAGGACCTTGTCCACCGAGTACACCGCCAGTGGGAAGTCCAGATGGAGGTTGTTGTTGACGGGCGTCTCGTTGACCCCCGTCGACACGTTCACCTGGTTGCTGCTGCTGGTGATGTTGATGGTGTAAACGCCGTTGCTCCCGGAGGCCTGCGTGTTCACCGGGTTGCTCGTGGTCTCGAAGGTGGACAAGGTGTAGTACCTGGGCAGGACGTGGTACAGGACCAGCGACACCTGCTCCTGGGTCGTCAGGCTGTTGAGCGTGCCGGGCTTCAGGTTGTTGAAGGCATTGTCGGTGGGGGCGAAGATGGTGAGGCCATTGAAGGAGTTGTTCAGCTGGCTCTCTATCTGCTCGCCGACCTGTGTTTCTTTGAGCAGGCGAAGGAAGGTGCCGTACTGCCCGCCCTTCTCGAGAATGCCGGTGAGGTTGAGCGGCGCTGGCTTAGGACCAGGAGCCACCGCGCCCGTGGCTTGGCCGAAGAGGCCGGAGGTGGTAAGGAGGAGGAGGAGGAGAAATGTGGGGAGGCCGACGAAGATGGGGGAGGAGGCCATCGGGTCGTGGCGACGCCTAGCCGCTGCTATGGAGGATAACGATGGACACAGAGGAAGTGCACAAGGGGGAGCTTTTGATGGAGAGTGAGGGAGAGGGAACACGGTGGCATGAGCTGGCCGCTGAAGTTGGCGAGTGAGGCTGAAGCCTATCATGAGGAGGCTGTCCTTTGTCCATTCATGCATTTCATGCCTTGGCCCCTAGAATTCCCATTTCAGATCAGGAGGGCCAGAGCAGAGCATGATCCAGAGAAGGTGACTGCCCAACCACCGATTGCTGTATTCGCCTCTCTCTGATCAAAGATAAGACTAGAATGATCGGTTCTCACTAAAACTTCCTCTTTGGCTTGCTTGCTTGGGACTGTCACTTCACAGTGAGTGATCTTGCAGCTCTGTCAAAGATTAGGTAGAACATCCTCCCGTCAATGACTGCCCGTCTTCTGCACGTCACATGGCGCTGGAAGAAGGCACTGATAGGCTCATGGACTCGATTAAGATCCGGGAAAAGACAACTCACCAGCTTGGCGCAAACACGAGCTTCCTTCTCGCTGTAAAGGTGCCAATTCTTCCAGCTCGACATCCCACTTCGTTTGGCAGTATTGGGTTGGAGCATTGCGTCGAGAGCTGAGACAGTCTGGACTCTGTCGTCAATCTTTCTCTTAGCAGGAAGAAGATAAGGACTTGTATCAACTCAATTGATTATTCATGTCAGAACCAAAACTGATGAAACTAAACGGAAATATTACATTAAAAATTGACATCTTTGGTGCTTTGAATTCTTACATCTTAGCATATATTATGTTCATCGATCAATCTATCCTCTCCCTCGATTGGAAAATCTTGGATGTTGACCTGAATTACAGTAAATACAGTGGTCAAGGCCTGCATTTACATTAATTGATCGGCCTTCTCCATAGCCCAAAGGAGAGCTCGCCATCATTAGACATGTTGTTAGCACCATGCTGAATGATCTCTTCCACCACTCTTTGGACTTCCAGCAGCTCTAACCTCCCTGAAGGGTACTTGAACTCTGGCTTTCTTGGCGTGTGACTGCAGGATGATGAAGCTTCGTCTTTATCGGAGGCAAGCGACCTCCGTTCTGCAACGTTCTTCCTTGCTCTCCTCTTCCAGTCTCTCAGGCTCTCGATAACCTCATCAGTGAAGATGGTTTCCTTCATCGAGGAACCCATCTGACGAGAAACGATTCAGATGATGAACAGATGGAAGTGATAGGAAGGTTAATTCGGAGCTTCTGTACCTGAGTGACCAACGCATACAGTGGAAGCGTAACATAAGCGCACAGGAGCTGCACCAGAATGCCTACCCCAAAGCTCAAGACGACGTCTGCCACCTCTCTATGGAAGCATGACCGGAGCCCAAAGTTGTACTGCAGCATGAGCATGCTCATCATCAGCTCGAAATATAGAAGAGTCGAGTAACACTGATCATGGCCTACCCACCCATGTCCACGCGAAGAATGCCAGCTGAAAGGAGTTCTGCGATGCACAAAGGTAATCGTATCAAAATCCTATATCCTTTCACGCATGTCAAGATGACTTCAGCTTTAAACAGGACGATGAGCTCGCCTGGACTAAGATGAACTGCATGAGGTGCAGCAGCAATCGAGGTCGACCAAACCAGAAGAAGCTGTTGTCAGGTTCAACACATATTGTCCCTGGAACAACAATTGCCTGATTACTGCTCTTTAAGCACATTGTTGTTATGATGACTTCTAGCTTCGTTCCTATAACCAAAAGAATCTGCAGGCACAGAAACATTTCATCTTCTCTTAGTTATCATCACTTCCAACTCTCTGAACACACGGAAAGCATAGTCATACCACTAAAGGAATGAAGGGAAGCCAGTAATGGCTATAAAATCCTGTTTGTCCAAACAACAAAAGAAGAAGAAACTAGGTGATCAGAGAAAGCAGAGTAGTGTGGAACTCTGATCTAATTAACCGATGATGATGCTTTACCATAGGCATTGAAGAATATGAAGAACACGGCAAACATCCATATCCAGAAGCTGCAGCCAATTGAAAGTGGTGTAAAAGATCGGATTCAGCAAGCATAGAGAGTATGGTTTCAGACGAAGACCTGATACTAACAACCACTGCAAAGTCTCTGTCCACTGATCTCCGGAGGAACTTTCGGAACTCGAACTTGCAATCCTGAGAAAAATGAACCTGTTCATCAAACCAAACTCACGTTAAATAGTTGGATTCGTCTTCCCCATAAGCACCAATGGCTCGAGTGTAATCTTGTCTTACAGCAATGAAACCGCGACGAAGCGAAAAATAATCGGCTTTCGAGACTGAATCAGTGAACTGTCGAAGAAAGCAGACCTACAAACAAGAAAGCAAGTGATCAGCATATGGAATTACACGAGGCTGAGGCACGGCAATAGGAATCGAACTTACCATCCACAGAAATAAATGGTGATTACTCCAAGACTTCAGATGCCGTTCTCCGAATGATGTCTGCCGTGCAAGCTTTAACCTACGAGGATCTGCATGAGAAAGAACACTGAGTACAAGGAAAGGCTTCACCTTGGAGATCATTGCTTCTTGGTTGTATCCGGTTAAGGTTCATATGTCATGTTCAAGTGTGGCATTCAAACATTACCCATATGTCTTTCATCATGTATATACATTATATATAATCAGTCAAAATGCTGAGGTCAGAGTGCTCAAATAGTCCTGCAATCGGGAGAGTGAACGCTGAAGATGTAGTGAAATATCGATGATCTTTGTGAAATTACCATTCGATAACTGATGTTCCAGAGTAGTGGTTTCTTCTTCCCATGTCTTCCACCTCTTCATCTGAAGGATACAAGAGAATCCTGATGAGACACACACAAATTCGAGCAATCGTTTTGCTTCTTCTGTTCTTAACAATGAACTATGAATGAAGAATACCTTGGCCTCGCCAAGAGCCAAGGTTACAAGGGAAGAAAGGATATGGAACATAGCCAGCACGATGATCAAGATCTGTAGTTGCTGAGTTCCTTGTGAGGAGAGCAGAGATATCTTGCCCTGCATGTCAAATAAGCAAGTGTTCATTCCCTTGTACGTGCATAGGCAGTGAAACATTGATCGCTCTATTGAGCCATACGTACCTTATTTTGGCAGGATTGCTCCTCGGTGAATCTGCCTGGCGGTGCAGCATCCTTGCATGGAAGAAAGGAGTCTCCCAAGCCTGCGGGGATGCAGATCTTTGAGATGGGCTGCTTAGCGACAGTCAGCAGCAAGGACATGAACCCCAGATTCCTGAGTTCTAATCACAACGACAGCCCAGGAAGAAATCCTCTTAGAGAAAATAATGGCAGCCAGCTGAAGACAACACACTCCACTCGCATGCTTCGCTAACCTGCTTTGACATGGCCGAGAGCCCGGTTAAGGGTCTTCCTCTTTCTCCTCTCCAGCAGCTGCCGACGAAGGCACCGACGCACGATCAGATCGGCATGAAAGCTAACAAAGAGAAGAAGCGGCAAGATTGCACTATGGATGAGTGAGAGATGCCTGACCAGAGTTAACCGGTGAAGGGCGTGCTCTATGAGAAGAGCTACACAGATCAAAACGGCGGAAACACCAGCGACAGCCCAGCTAGGAGTGGACTCGAGAGACGCTTCCGAGTTCGACATCTCGATGTGGTGGTGGCACACTAAGCTGTGGATGTTATCGGGATGCGCCTACATATTTAAAGACCTCCACTTGGGTTCATGTGCTCTTCTTCTTCTTTCTCGATCGGTTGTCAAACAGATCTGCTGCTCGTGAGCTAAAAACGTAGGCGGCCTTATCGCCCGGAAGCTATGTCGGAGTGTTGCTTGTGGAGGTCGATCTCTCGTTGTCCAGTTGACTTGGTAGGGAACAGACAGGAAGACTGAGCCTCACGTAGAATCCTCCAAGAAGCCATCGTTTCAAGAGTGGTTAAAATTACACGATTTATTGCATGCATATAAACAAAAACAAAGACGGAAAAAAAGGTCAACATATAGAGAGAGAGAAATCGAAGAAGATTCAAACAAGGCTTTCTGTGACCGGAAGAACACCACTGGATTGATCAAAAGTCAAATGAGAAACTAGAGCATGTGTTTATCATGCCTGCCTTATCTAATCCAATCCAATCCTACTCATTACTGTCATTTGATCTCGATCTTCAACACCTCAGTCTGTATTTTTGTCATAGCATGAAATCGTAGGATGATGGCTGAGATTTGAACTCTCTCTCTCTCTCTCTCCCTATCCTTTTCAAGTCGTCAGACGAGAAGAGTATGGCTCCTGGAAACTTCTCCCGGCATACAACATCATTAAAGAAGCTCGGAGGTCGACAAACAAGTTGGTGACCAAATCAAATATAGAAGGTCTCGGTGCATTGAATGGTTACGGGATCTTAGAGATTTTAATGGTGACAACGTGAATGCTGACAAAGGTATCGCTAGCCGTACTCGATCTGTACCTCCACGCATCTCCATAGCTTTCGAACCTGAATCCCAGTGGGGATTTAAAGCGATCTATGAAGGTCAACCAGCACAAGTAACACCTGCCGTGGCGAGGCAGAGATCGTGTCGTCGTCAACGATGTACTCTTTATCTTATTACGCTCAAAAGAGGTGGCTATATGAGTCGAAAACACAATTGAAGTCATCAGTTAGATTCTCTCGTTGCTCGAGACACTATGCGACAAGTAGAACATCCACTCAGCGGCATTCCATCTTGGATTGCTAGATATCAAAAGATGCAGTCGTTGGTGGTGTATTTGTAGCACCCAATCAATTCATTTTGCTGGCTTAATTGATCAGGTTAAGACAGAGCTGGGTCATCCTCAACCTGATCCAAGCAAGAAACCGGAGCCGCGTATGGACTCGGGTCGGAATCTTTTGGATCATCTGACGCATCGGGTTTCTGCTTCGTCTCCTTCCAACTCCTTTGCTTTGAGGGCATGTTCCATGCAAAAATGATGGGGGCCGAGAAACAGAGGAAAAGGAATGGCGATCGCCTTTACCGTACAAAGGCTTTCAGGGGAGAAAAAGCTGCTACAGATGGTGGTCTCTCACCAGCAATGGCGGATAGTGGAGGAAGGGAAAGAGAGGAAATGGTTTCCATGCTCATTCCCTCGTCTCTTTTTAGAGTGGCAGGCAGAAAGAAGACCTCCGGCCCTACGACGGGGTCATTGTGGCCAAGCCTTGACAGACTTCTTCCTGCTGGCTGTGGGAAGGTGATGTACATCAATATCAGCACCCACTCGCAGAGCTGTTTCCTTCTTGAAAGCTCATCTCCATTTGGCCATGAGAAACCAATCACCACCTATCCAAAGCTGTTTCCCTTTCATTTCAATACCTTCTCTTCAAGCTTTAGCCAGACAGAAAAGATGCATTTCTGGCTCAGCATCTGAGTTGTGGAAAGACAACCAAAGAAATGCGTCACATTTCATAGAGCACCAATGGTTATGAAGCCTATTTTCTTGCTGAGTTCAGCACCAACACAAGAAAGAACAATCTCTTTTCCATTATAGCATGACTCAAATTGCAGCAGATCTCCAATATGTACTACAAAGAGACTAAAAAAGAACACTTGGAGGTAAGCAACACACAAATTGATGACAACAGTTGATGCTATTATATGGTTGCCGGCAGCAGATGGCGAACATTCACAAAACTTCAAAAAATTACATCAGTCTAGGAAATAACAAGCATTCAAATGTGCTCATACAGATGATTACTATCGAACTATGTTATATTTTTGCAGTATTAAATATGATGTTTTGATCCCATGATCTTATCATAATCTTCCGCGGTCTTTACCAAACAAAATAACTAGCATCTTCGGCGTGCACATTATTATTGCTACAAAACATGAAACCCACAAACATATAAGAAATTGATTCAAGTGCATTGTCCAACACAGAGTTGGATCTTTGCTTTAAAGAGACCCAACAAGACACCATCGGTTGGTTCCGAAGTCGTATCGCTCAAACAAAAATTAGAATTTTAATGCTTAGGGCAAGGCATATAACATATAAGTGTTTTGTTAGATTGCCGAACATGCCTTGTAAAATGCTCTTTCTACCTTGTCCACCACGTGATTAACGACATCATAAGATCCAAGATCCCTCGGTAAAATAGCAAATGTAAACAGGCCTTCACATTCAGTACACAAAAAATTCATTTAAATAACAAACCGTGATTGCTATTGCTATTGTACAAGCTAACAGAACAGTAATAACACAAAGAAAATGATCAATATTGCACACAAGAGTTACAGTATTCTTACCTTGCCTAAGGTCCGGTCAAAATCATTTAATTTGGATGGTATCAGCTCAGAATCCGATTCCGGTGACCCCAATTGGCCGATGTCTATCCTTCCAAAAGCAAGCATCGGGTGCCATCTTTGCCGACGACCTCATTGGCTCCGATTTGCACCGTGTTAGCACGAACGGCCCATATGCTGGAGCCGGTGCCGGTGATGGCAGCACACCAGCATTACCTCTCAGCTTCTTATCCTTGTCTGACACAGTGGGCAACACTGGTGGTGAAGGCAACGACGAAGGCTGTGGTGCCTCCTGGATAGGAGAGACTGTTTCCTTATTATCACTGCTCCTATCATCAGTGATCTCCATGCTTGCTTCACCTTTAGTTACTTCATCCGCTCTGGTGCCGACTTTGCCAGCGCCGGTGGTGGTAGCTGTGGCACCAGCAGCGACTGGTTTCGAAGGGTGACAAGGCCGATAGTTGGGGTGGTGGAGACGCCACTGGAGGAAGTCAGTGCTACAGACCCAAGTTTCTTTGGAGACCTCCATGGACAACTTGGGCTCATACATCATAAGTAGAAGGCAGTCGGGCAGCTCCGTGCCCTTCTTCTCCTCCTCTCCTTTCTCCCCAGCTTCACATTCTACTCCGCATTGCTTTCTGCCTCTTTTATCTCCCCCGTCATTACCTTCTTTTTCCTTGGTATGCGAGTATTGGACTTCCATGTTGCCATTCGGACCCTTCTTCTCCGGGAAGCATTCTTTTTTGGTCTTCTTTGCTTCATCCGTTACTTCCTCTTCTAGTCTCAGACCATCCTTCTCAATTGAGAAGCTCCACCTCCCCTTCGCTTCAATGGAGAAGCTAGCTCTCCTCACTTCCTTCTCACCGCCAAAGCTTGGTCTTCCCAAGCTCGGTCTTCCCACCTCCCGCTCTGTGGAGAAGCTATGTCGCCGCTTGTCCCTCTCCCTCAACGCAGAGCTGTGCCTTCTTGATCCCTCCTTTGATTTGGAAGCAAGCCTGTTTGATCTCCTCTCCTCTTTATCTGCTGTGGACGAGCAGCTGCTGGTTCTCCTTCCTTTATCCTCTTCCTTCTCTACTTCTCTATCCTTCGGAGGAGTATCATTCGTCATCTCTTTTTCTTCTGGCTTTTCTTTTAACTGAGAATACTCAACTTCGGCTGCTTCTACTTCTTGCTCTTTTTTATCCCTTTCCGAGTTACCGATCGCTTCGACAGGCTCAGCTGCAGTCCCCGTTATGAGATCCTCGTCCTTATTTTGCCTTTCATCGACTGGATTCGGCTGCACCTCCTCTTCTTGTGCCTCTGTTCCATCAGAAGCTTTCATCAGTTCTTCACTCAAAATCACTCCTTGATGGCTTTCTTCTACTCCCTCCTCTTCACGATATGGTTCCGCGGTTTGAGCAGTTTCATCATCCCTCTCTTCTCCCCTCACTTCCTCATTACGCTCCCCATGTTGATCTCTATTGTCATCGTCACCATCTTCCTCCTCTTCTGCGTCCTCCTCTTGCACGCGCACCTGCATGGCCGGCGAATCCCAGAATCGGCTCGCCAATGCCGCCATCCTGACCGGATCAGATCTGCACCTCATCAGCAGCAGAGCATTCCTGGGAGGAATGCAAATGCTGACCCTCGCTTCCTCTTCCTCTTCCTCTTCCTTCTCCTCCCTTTTCTCCACCACCATCACCACCTCTTCGGTCTTCTCCGTCTCGATCCCGAACTCCAAATCCTCACTCCTCAACCTCTCTTTGATTACCATTCCCATCTCTCTGTCCCTTCCATCCTCGACTGCCACACCCACGATTTCTCGTCCGTTCCCCTCCTCGGTGTCCGGAACTGCCATCAACCACCTCGCGAACACTGCTCCGCACGAGTTCGATCTCCTTTCGCCGCACCCTCCCTCCCTTCCTTCGGCCGATCTCGAGGAAGACGAGGAGGAACAGAGGGATCTTCCGCCACAGGGGAAGAAGCAATTAAACTCCGACCCGAATGCCCTCAGCGCCTCGCAAATGCTGACCGGGAGGTGATACACCCACCTCTGGTTCCTGCTCGGTAAGCACTCCCCCGCTCCGCCCATGTCCTCCGTCCTCCGGAAGCTCGCCTCCCTACCGCTTCCCCTCATAGATCGCGAGCGCATCACCGACGCCTTGCCTTTGGCGGCAGCGGCAGCAGCAGCCGCGGCCGCCGCCGCCGCCGCCTTCTTTTTCTTGCTCTTGACGCGCACCTGGCCGATGCAGGTGACCTTGGGGGAGGACGGCTCCGCAGCCTCAAAGGCGACGCCTTTCCGCCTCCCGGCTACCACCGTGGGGAACATTGGGGACTGGGCGCCCTTGACGCTGCCGCTGTTCCGGAGGCGTCGGCTGAGGGAGGACGACAGGAAGGGCGCCGCCGCCGGGTCGCGGCCGCGCCCGGGGCTGAGTAGGGACTTGGAGGACGGCGCGCGCATGGCTGCTGCCGCGGCGGACGATGACGAAGAAGACGGTGCAGCGGCAGCGGCAGAAGGGCGGGAACCAAAGCAGAAGAATAGATCGCCACCACGGCTCCGGCGGTGGGAATAGGGTCTGTCGGCTCCGCCTACGGAAGCCTTCTTCTTCCGCCTCATCTATGTATCTAGTCCTTCATACCACACACGATTAAAGAAGGGAAGCGGAGAGAGGAGGAGCCGCTTTCTTCTTGGGACTTGAGAGTGGAGAGCTAAAGAAAAATAAACATTAAACAAGTATATATAATAATTCTAGGGTTTCCTTCTGCTACCGAGAGCAGACGGGGGGGTTGACAGCGAGGAAGGCGGCTTCAGACGCAGGACTCGAAACGGGAGAAGCAGCAGCAGCAGCAGTAGCGACGGGGTCACAGGCACTAGTGGTACCTTATATCTCTATCATACTAACCTCCATTATTCACTTATATTGCAAGAGTGGCATCACCAGCGGCTCCGTAGGCTTTTTGTTTTGGAAGGATGTTTGTCCTCCGGAATGGCTGGTCAAACCATGCGACTTTAGCATGGGTGATACGGTTCAACGGTAGCCATGCGTTACCAGCGACGGTCTAGCATGGCCGTCGGATACCCATGCTAAACAGCCTTGGCCCAGCGTCATCAAGTGAGCGTTGAACGTTGAATTGACATTGATGACAGCACCAGCATGGGATCAAAATGTGCACTCAATGATCACCTTTCATTGACTGTAGGTATTGACTCGCCAAAGAAGGAGAAAGGCCCGAGCGATGGTACTACCGTTTACCAAGAGCACGGATTGCCAACCCAGCGGGCAGATATGCTTGTGGAGATGGAAACTTCGGTTCGAAGGAAGAAGGTGACATCTATACGAGTCCAGAGGTGGAGGAAGAAGGAGAGTGAGCGAGAAGGAAGAGGGCAGCAGTTCCCATGGACTACTCCGCCAGTGGCTGCACATCGCAATGGCATGCAGTATCCGGTTCGTGGTCAACGTATATCGATTTATGGGCAACGCAAGCTTGTACGCTACCCTCCCAAGCTTATCCGAGGGCAGGCCATGGTGACATTAATGCAGCCAGAGAGGTGGGTGCTCCACTCCATGGACGCAAAGCCAGAGCAGAGCAACAGCTAGACTCAACAGTAAGTATCAGAATAAAAGAAAGAATTGGATGCGGAGACAGAGACTAGAGAGAGAGGGGTCACATGGGGGCGTGCCATGGGGAAAGGGATCAGCAGAAAGATCCAAAAATGCTGTGTGACTGAGGACTGGCACATGATGAGGAGGGAGGAGGTGGCACAAGGTCATCAATACAGTGATGAGAGAGAGAGAGATAGATACGGTTTAGATTGCAAGGTGAAGGAGAGGAATCTAGGTCTCCTCGCTGTGCGGCCCCTTTGGTTGTGGAACCAGTGCACTAAAGGTGAGAATTTTGTGACAGTCCCCACTCCCATGAGAAGAGGAGACGGAGACGGCGATGCACGGGAGCAACACCACCTCCTCCCACACGCATTCTCAATGCCTTCAACTCGATACGCACGCATGTGTATAAGTTATACCTGTTGCGCCTTTTGAGGACCTTTGACTGCCCTCTCTCCTCTCTCTCACCCTAAAGAAAAAAGCAGCAGCAGCAGAAACAGAAAGACATGGCCATTGTGCGCCACCAGCTTTCTCTCTCGTCATCCTTCGGACCATAATGAACCGGCCCACCTATTTATATCACTCATCGGTGCGGGAGGGAGAGCTGCTGCTGCTGCTACTGCAGGGCGGAGAGTGATGTGTGGAGGGAGAAGAGATGCCGCTTAAACCTTTATCTTCGGCGCACGTGAGCTTCACGTTCTTTGAGGCGAACCAGGCGAGAGCAGGGGAGTACTCGTCCTCCTCCACGTCCGTGAAAGCTACCGAACGCCCTCCACCGCCCGCTGGCTTCTCCTTCTCTGAGCTTTAACTGTGCCTCATCATGTTGGGTGTGGCATCAGTGATTCCCCATACCGATTGCCTTGTGCAGTTTGCTAACTATGAAGATATAAATAAAAATGATTCTTTTTGGAGTTTTTGAATCCGTTTGGGGGCAATAAAGAGAAATTTTGATGTGATGCTGATTCTTTTAGTGATTGGAGAGGAGAGGTTGGGCCGTATGGGTTCAAGTGAACCCAAATATATGATCAGAATAAAAACTGTGAGCCTTCTGTTCATTAAAATAATATATCTTAAATCCCCACTCCATGGATATAAAAAAATCTTCTAAGTGATTTGTTGCTATAAAATCTTAGTGGTATAAAGATGGAAAGAAATGTACTATTCAGAATTCTTTTTTTTATTGACAATGCCTTCATTATTAACAATCTCTTTAAGAAATAATAAATATATTATTTTTTTATTATTTATAATCTTAATATTATTATTTTATCTTTTTTTTTTCTTCCCTCATAACACATGCTTCCCTATTAACATCGTCATCGATTGTCACCTTGTGCTCCTTGCCTGTTTTCTATGTTCATCGTTGATCACCCTATGCTCCTGATCGACATAAATGTTAAGAAAAAGAAGAAGAGGAGGAGAATGTGAAAGAAGGAGAAGAAGATGAAGAGAAAAAAATACTATTTAAGTTCATTTACGAAGGATAATTTAGAAATATTATTTTTTTAATAAAAAATATAAAAAGATAATATTATTAATCGTACTCCTCCAACCAAAACCTTTGTTAAAACTTATTCTTTTATAAAAAGGCAGTATTCAAATAAATGAAAGAAACGAATGTTTTAAAACATAAAACAATAATATAATAATAATATTTTAAAATTTTAATATATATGTGGTGATTTTAAAAAAACACTTATATTTTTAAGTTTTTCCTAGACCCATATTTTTAGTTTTTTCATTTGATATTCTCATTTTTTTTCTTACACCTTAAATATCACTCGTTATCGTCAATGACTCTTTCTCCCTTCATCATGATAACGGGCCTTGCAATGGGATTAATATAATCATAACGAAACAAAAGCGATATAATCAAAACGATGAGACAGAAGTAACGATGGGACAAAAAAACCTCACAAAAATGGATACCTACAAGGGATTGATATTACCCATCCAAAGGAGGAAGTGACAACAAAGAGATATTTAGGATATTAAAAAAATTAGGACATCAAAAAAAAAAAAAAAAAGGTATCATGCAACAAAAGTCCCAA